CCTCTGTCTTGCATTATAAAAGTTGGACTCAGTGTTCCCTCGATTGCTGCTGCCACTTGGTTCCCCTTGACAAGTGGATTTGTTACAAAGCGGGCCCCTTGTCCAGTGTGTGTTACAAAAATGATGGGAGATAGAAAATCACTGCTTTAGGCGCGATTAGACCTCAGGGTGCTGTAAATAGAGCTGACCTTTAGCTATATCGTATAGAAGCCAACTGTACCTCTAACATTCTCACTATCAGTCTGTTCTGTAGTGATAGAGTTAGCACATGTGATACTATCCTGTTCGCTATCTCAATCTACAGGGATACTGCAGGAATTGAGAGATTTAGAACGATCAACTCCTCTTACTACAGAGGAGCTACGGTACATTGTGCCTCTTAAAATGTGTGTGACTCCTTCAATCCTTTTTGTTTGCACAGGAATCATTCTTGTGTATGATGTCACATGTCAGCAACCATTTGACAACCTTCAGAGGTGGCTCCGTGAGATTGAGGAGGTGAGTTGAAACCTTTCCTCAATAGTCCCTGTGTACAACAAACCCAGTCTCAGATTGGTCTGGGGAGACTGCAGGGTGTCGCTGGTGGAAGGGGTGAGTTGAGGTGTCTGGGAGGTGAGACAGACACCTCATGTTCATGTTCATATGTGTATGTTCTGTGTGTTAACGGTTCGCCCATGCTCTGGGTGCGTGGTCTATGGCCTAGTGCTATGGCAGCCACCTGAAGTATTATTATTATACTGTTAAAAAACTCTTTGAGGCTGAGAACTCCTCACTAATAATGCGTAATTTCTTACTAAGATGCAATATGTTTAGCAACACTACGCTTAGCCACTGCACCAATTGGATTCACTAGCTGTAGAACCACATGCATAGTATTGCACATAGTTTAGCCCCAATAAGGTAATTCCCATACACTTAATTATACTTTACTCCCCGGCTACTTGCTTCTAATATGCATAGATGAGCGAGCTTAATTGTAGTATAATATGCCTACTGTAATAGTATCTAGGTGCATTGTGCAGGAAAACATATGTCAGCTACTATTGTGCAGCAGAACATATGTCAGCTACTTAGGTTTGCATGCTGTAGAGGGGTTCATGTTTGTTGAATAAAGGCATACTTTTCCTACTTATGCTGTATTGTAGAAGTGGTAGTCTAGGAGGTAGTGAACTGCGTATGGTTGAATGGCAATGTGTTTCATGCAAAGGTGCATTCAAGTATGTATAGCTATGTACCTACACAGAATGTATCATGTGAAGTGAAGATAGCGCTGATTGGCAACAAGTGTGAGATGGAGGCTAAGAGAGTTGTCACCAGGGAAATGGGTGAAGAATTTGCAGCCAAATGCGGAATTCCTTTCTTGGAGACTTTTTGCAAGACCAACCACGATATTAATGAGGTAATTTCTCTTGCTGTTTAAAACATTAGTCCCTAACTCTTTTGTAGACATTGCACACACATTTCCTACTGCTTTAGATTGAGTACCAAGCTACTTAACTCATTGGGGTCCACATTACGGGCGCAATTGATTATGTAATCCCGAATATAGGTAACATTTTAGCCTACTTCATGAGCGTGGAGTGTGGAGTGAATAGCTGAGGCGGTAAGGTAGTGCACTTCAACAAGGGAGGTCCCTAGTTGGAATCCCACGGTCTTTTTTTTTCTTGCATTATTTTTTCTTTTTTTTGCGTTGCGTTTCCGTTGCGTTTTAGTGACGTAGTTGACCCTCGAGGTGCTTTGGGCCCCAATGAGTTAACACTCCTGAGAAATGCATGGAAACCAGCCATTTTGTGAGAGAATGGTTACATAGAAATCGACCTTTCTTGCATGTTGATTGCAACCTTATCAGTTCATGTTTGCAATTCTCTGAGGTTTTTAACAACAGCATAAATTTCCATGCAATACGTGCAGTAGACAAGAGAGCTGTACAGAAAGAATGCAATGGTTATTGCCGCTATGCTATCAGAGATGAGACAATTAAAAGTACTTAAATTCTCACACCAGCACACCAAATGCCTATATAGTTTCCCACTTTTATAACTTTTGCATTATTATGAATCCAGTCACTAAGTATTATTATTTTCCTGGTCCCAAGTGCCACATGAGACATGTTGGCACAATTGTGATGTGATGCCCGAGGGTTTTACGTTACAACTGTTTAATGCCTTGTTGTGACAAGATTAAACTAGATACACATACCTGCTGGCATCTTTTTCACCCACCGCGTGGAGTAGTGGTAATCTAATTATTGCGCGGGTGGCTGAGCATGCGCATGGTTTTTTACTACAATAATGGTGCAAAGGGGATTTTTAACCCTCGGCGCACATGCGCAGCGAGGATTACAGTACTTGGGTATGTCTGTGTGTGTGTGTGTCTGTCTGTTACTCTCAATCTACCTTCTCGGGTGTTTGTTCGTCTCACAAAGGATACGACCTACTTAACGGGCAATGAAGGTCAGAAATTTCGAACGGTTTTCTCTGAAACTGCTCCGTTGCAAAGCTAGAGCGCGAAAAAGGCAATATGCAAATACACAACGGACGGGACGGTTTACCAGGGTCTGAACGATCCGCGTGCTCTCAGAGGCACCAGAAGATGCAACGCAGGGCGTGTATCGCCTCTCGCATGCTATCTAGTAGTGTGGTTAGCCCGCGTCAGACTCTGCGCGAGCTGGGAAGAGACCACGACAGCTAAAACTAAACCCAGCCCATCAATATTAGTGGTACGGCGCATGCGTTTACTTACGCGTGCACGTCACAGTGCGCCGAGGGTTTGCACTTCAGTGCTTTTCATTAACCCTCGGCGCGCATGCGCAGCGAGGGTTACTGTAGTTGGGTTTGTCTGTCTGTCTGTCTGTTACTCTCAATCTCACTTCTCGAGTGTTTGTTCGTCTCACAAAGGATAGGACCTACTGAACGGGCAATGAAGGTCAGAAAATAAAGGCGGTTTTCTCTGAAAATGCTCCGTTGCAAAGCTAGAGCGTGAAAAAGCCAATATGCAAATACACAACGGACGGGATGGCTTACCACAGTCGGATCGATCCGCGTGCTCTGCGTCCTTCGGAGGCACCAGAAGATGCAACGCAGGGCCTCTCGCATGCTATCTAGCCCGCGTCAGACTCTGCGCGAGCTGGCAAGAGACCACGAGTAACAGCTAAAACTAAACCCAGCCCATCAATTAGTGGTGCTGCGCATGCGTTTACTTACGCGCGCGCGTCACAGTGCGCCGCCGAGGGTTTGCACTTCAGTGCTTTTCATTGACTCTGTGTGTGTGTGTGTGTGTGTGTCTGTTACTCTACATCTCACCTCTCGAATGTCTGTTCGTCCCAGAAACGATACCATCTACCCAACGGGCGACGAAGGTCAGAAAATATGTGGGGTTTACTCTGAAAATGCTCCGTTGCAGAGCTAGAGCGCTTCCAGCATTGTATGGCTAATGCCGGTAGTCGCCATTTTATCGCTGGCGGAAAATGCGCATGCGCTTATATTTAGCAGGCTTACCTCGACCGGGTCCGCTTGCTCTGTCTATCTTGAAGGCACAAGAAGTCACAACGAATGGCGTGTATCGACTCTCGCGTGCTATCTACTAGCCCGTGTCAGACTCTCTGCGAGCTACTTCGCCGAGGGTTTGCACTTTAGTGCTTTTCATTGGGTCTGTCTCTCTGTGTGTGTGTGTGTGTGTGTGTGTCTGTTAATCTACATCTCACTTGTCGAACGTCTGTTGGTCCCAGAAACGATACCATCTACCCAACGGGCGACGAAGGTCAGAAAATAAAGGTGGTTTTCTCTGAAAATGCTCCATTGCTAAGCTAGAGCGGGAAAAAGCCAATATGCAAATACACAACGGCTTTCTACGGCATGATCGATCCGCGTGCTCAGCGTACCTCGGAGGCACCAGAAGATGCAACGCAGGGCGTGTATCGCCTCTCGCATGCTATCTAGTAGTGTAGTTAGCCCGCGTCAGACTCTGCGCGAGCTGGCAAGAGACCACGAGTAAGCTAAAACTAAACCTAGCCCATCAATTAGTGGTACGGCACATGCGTTTACTTACGCGCGCGCGTCACAGTGCGCCGATGGTTTGCACTTCAGTGCTTTTCATTGAAGCTGTCTTTCTCCCGATCGATTGCTAGCTAGCTCTCTCCGTACACTGAGGGTGTGCGTTAAAAAGAGGGCATTTTGAAAGCTTTTGCGCAAACTCATTGGTCAGAGCCTTACCGCCTTATGTCATCATACAAACACATTATAGGATGGCATTGGCTTGTGGTCTACTGGTTGCACACTCGTGGCTTCAGTTTTGATAGACCACTCAAGCTGCGCCCTCGTGCCCTATCAAAACTGCCCACTCCAGTAGACCACACGCCGCCATCGTATAACCTATACATATACAATATCCTGACAATAAAACTGTCAGTGCTAAAGACTAATAAAACCAACCCGACTATATTGCACAATATGTCAAATACCTGAATGGCTGGTCAGGAAAAAGAATTTGCTTCACGAGAATCTCAAAGGCCTGCATAACAGAATTAACACAACACTCCTGTGTCGGAAATAATTGCGCTTGAGAATTATTCTAGATCTGTTAGCACAGCGTTTATCAGGCACATAACTGGTAAACAGCTGAATAGCTGGTTACGTTGCCCGCAAGAGTAAAAGAACAATTAAAAAGTGTGGCAATCTATCATACTGGCAATGTATGAGATAATCCAAGAGTACAGCTGTCTGGGCTTCCATCTTGACAAGAATAGCAAAACTAAAACTCTCCGGGGAAGAGTTAGTCGCTACTACATAGAGGCAACAAGTATTATTATGCCTTGGGCTTTCTCTCGTAATCACATGGGCCGTGTTAAGGGTGTAGGTAAACTTCCAGCGCATGCATACTACTTTTGTTTACTGTCACAACCTAAAATAGGACATACAAAAAACGGACAAAACTATACCATGACAAACTAAGAGCTTAGCAAGACAAACTGACAATACTGTGTCTATACCAGACTCCATGACGTGGGAGTGGTCCCGCCCCAGTGGTAGTGAGGCACAGGTCGGGAGATTAAAGGGACCGAAACCTGTGACCTACACGATGATCTGCTGTGGAGCTCCCTGATGACTGGTGCATTAGATAAACGACAGACAAAGGAGACAGGGTTTGCTAGCTGTTAGGGGTGGGGATAGGGTAGTGTAGCACGTGTACTTATGTGGAAGCACACTGTGGTTTGTAACTCCATGCACAGCCTGAGTGTATGTCTGGTGGTCCGGCGCTTTGATGACGCCGACAAGTCCCCCCCAGTCTCTGTCACTACACCTCGTTCCCCACAATTCTCTCCCCCTCCTTTCTCTTCTTAACCCATACCAAACACACACGTGCTTGCACGGAACCAGGTGGTGTGGTGCCACGGAGCTGGTTGGGCGGGGGGTATCCCAGTCGTCTACCCAGTGGCGACAAGCTCTTCGGAGTGGGGCTGCAGTCTCGCTAAGGACCATCAGACATATGCCGGTCACAGCCTAAAGCACACACCCCTACAAACCTCAGCTGCCTCCTCATGTAGGCAGCACATAATTACTTAAAACACACATTTGCAACTAGTCAATACAACACACTTTAATCCCAATCACTCTCATGTGCACAGAAAATACTCACAAAATTTCGATGATTCCAAGTAAATGCTTATGCACTTAAAACTCAATGGGGGCCAGGGCCACACCCACGGCAGTGAGAGATGGCCCTGGCCCTCCCCCACTACCATGGTTTTTTTATCACACACACACACACACACACACACACACACACAGAGTCAAAAATCCCCTTTGCATCACCATTATTGTAGTAAAAAACCATGCGCATGCTCAGCCACCCACGCAATAATTAGATTACCACTACTCCACGCGGTGGGTGAAAAAGATGCCAGCAGGTATGTGTATCTAGTTTAATCTTGTCACAACAAGGCAATAAGGGTGTAGGTAAACTTCCTGCGCATGCATACTACTTTTGTTTACTGTCACAACCTAAAATAGGACATACAAAAAACGGACAAAACTATACCATGACAAACTAAGAGCTTAGCAAGACAAACTGACAATAGTGTGTCTATACCAGACTCCATTACGTGGGAGTGGTCCCGCCCCAGTGGTAGTGAGGCACAGGTCGGGAGATTAAAGGGACCGAAACCTGTGACCTACACGATGATCTGCTGTGGAGCTCCCCTGATGACTGGTGCATTAGATAAACGACAGACAAAGGAGACAGGGTTTGCTAGCTGTTAGGGGTGGGGATAGGGGTAGTGTAGCATGTCTACCAAATAATTATTATGTGGAAGCACACTGTGGTTTGTAACTCCATGCACAGCCTGAGTGTATGTCTGGTGGTCCGGCGCTTTGATGACGCCGACAAGTCCCCCCCAGTCTCTGTCACTACACCTCGTTCCCCACAATTCTCTCCCCCTCCTTTCTCTTCTTAACCCATACCAAACACAGACAAACCCAAGTACAGTAACCCTCGCTGTGCATGCGTGCCGAGGGTTAACTACTGTAACTCTCGCTGCGCATGCGCGCCGAGGGTTAATAAGCGCTTTAGTTTAGTCGAGCTGGGTGGTTGTGCAGAAGTCATGGTCATTTCTCGAGTGTTCAACGTTACAGGTATATACGTCAAAGCTATACTTTCTCCACACGAGTTTTGTAGCTGCCGCTCTGGCTCGCTTTCTCTCCCGCTATACCCAGCACTCTCGAATGCAGCCTTTTGCAGTAGCAAGAAAGCTGAAAGTCACCGAATACTGTCCCAGTCCACGGGAGCATACGCGTCGTGGAGCAGTTTTCAGACTGCGTATATACTAGAGCAGTTTCTGGCCATTCTAGCCTGAAAGCACCCCCTTCCGGTAAAGAAACAGCAGCACACAAAGAGTGTAATTGCATTCCACGCTGCCAATTTCCTGCAATCGTCTAACTCCTGTAGACCCACTGTGGTTTCTGCAAATGAGTTGACATACAGCTAAAGTATGGGGAAATTTTATGGCCTCTATGTTCTAACTATAATTATACCCGTAGACTGAGCAGGAAGCGCTCACTATGCATCTATGTTGTTAACCCTCGGCGCGCATGCGCAGCGAGGGTTACGTAAGTTGGTTTGTCTGTCTGTGTGTGTGTGTGTGTGTGTCGACGCTTTTTTTGGCACTACAGGCCACGAGGCGGCTAATGAGCGATACCAACGGCTTGAGAACTACGCGAACCTGAAAAATATTAGGCGATTTTCCTGAAACGACTGCGTTCGAGAGTGACAAACTGGCACGGTTGCGGACCGAGTTCCGTGGCCCAACCCATCATTAAGCGGTGCGCATGCGTATAGACACGATCAACGCGGTATGCTGGCTCCACCTCTACCTGATCCGCTTGCTCTGTGTACCTTGGTGGCCACAGCGAAGGGCGTGTATCGACTGCCGCATGCTATCTACTACCGTAGCTAGCCCGTGTCAGATTCTCCGCGAGCAACTAGCGGGAGACCGCGGGTAAACGCCAATAGCCCAGCCCATCCATCGATACCGCTCATGCGCAGTTCGCCGAGGGTTTGCACTTCAGTGCTTTTCATTTGAACTAGCTGGAATGTCTTTGATCTTACTCTCAGTCATCATACAAAGCGTGTTAGTGTGTTGTTCATCATAGCATGCATGGTATATACACATGATAGCGATAGCTCAGCGTTAAAGCAGGCCAGCATAATTTCCAGATATGAGCTTACAAAAGCATTGCATTGAGCATAAGGAACATTTAATGAATAATTCAGACTGGATGATGAGGTCAGAATATGGAATTTTTTCGACAGGAAGAGTACACCGTCACAAAAATAATCTCCTGTTTCTCAGATTTGAAATAGCATATCTGCACTTTAGTGCATAGCTGGTTTAAATCGAGCAATCTGATTGGTCCACACGAGGTACTTGATTTCCCGTAGTATACCTGGGACGCTCCATAGTAAACCTTGTTTTTCATGTAAAATTTTCACATGAAAATGACAAGATCACGTACATAATCTACAGAAACATGTAGCTTTATCGTCTACTTAGTTTCAACAGTATGCACAGAGAGACAAGAAGTCTGGGCCTAGCTGTACGTAAGCGCCTGTACGCTAGCGCTAGCGGTACGTAACGCCCGGGGATACGTGTGCGTAGAGTGGGCGGAGCCCTTTTCCGCGAAACGCGGCGGACGACGGGCGGGTGCTGTATATAGCTTCTGCCTACCGTTTCTAGCTCGCCGCTGGTGGCTGAAACCTCGCTCGAGTCGGTTACCAATCGCGTCTTTACGCTCAGTCGAATTTCAGTCGCCTGGAAACGGGCGCTGTGCGTGTGCGGATTTGTCACTAAACATGTTAGTTACTCCGTATACTCGGGAACTACGGGATTTCAATGAACCCTCGGGCCATCCGCGTAGATGCCCTCGCTGCGCTCGGGACACTACAACGTGGAGGCCCTCGGGTTCATTGAAATCCCGTAGTTCCCTCGAACGGAGTAACTAAGTTATATATAGTGTATGACACATGTTTATTACTTCCATTGGCTAAAGCAAGATTACTTTGCTATGTAATTCTCAGCTTTTATTATTGATGAAAAGATCCAGTCATGTAGTTATTACGTCTGATGATGTCATGTCTAACCTCCTCTGAAGAAAATGCACACTCTTAGCCGAGCACATCAATTAGTGCCACGCATGTGCAGTGCGCCGTGGGTTTGCACTTTAATGCTTTTCATTTCATCGGCTCTTACCCTAAGGCAAGGTTGTGTTGGTCAATTACAGTATACTTTTATCTACTTTGCTATGTAATTCTCAGCTTTATTAATGAGTGATGAAAGGATTGAGGAGATCATAGACAAGGCCCTGGAATCTAACTCTCTCAACATAAGGAACATTGTGGCTGTCATCACTGGTCTCATGGGCTCCGGTAAAACATGGCTCCTTAACCGTCTCTTCAACCAACTCCCTCCTCGCCTCTACAACAGTACTGGTCTGGCTGAGCAGTCACTGCGAAGCATGCTGCACCACATGATTGACGTGTCTTCCGAATCTTGGGAGCCTTTCTCCAACAACCAAATCCTCGAGCTTCTAGCGTGTGTCTTCCAGCTAGTGTAGAGCCTGTCACTTCCTCACCCACAGCCACATCCTCAGCCTCAGCAAATTCTCCGCTTTCTCGACATTGCACACCACGTTCATCACCTGAGGCAGCAAACAGCTCCACAGTTTTACCCACCGATCGAAATAGTGTTGTCACGGAATCTCCTGAAATGCCCAAGAGCTCCACAATGCAGTCCGTGGTGAAACACATCAAGTCTTCAGAGAGAACCGAGTACCTGGAGATCCTCGAGCTAGTTCACATGATTGACACCGGAGGCCAACCGGAGCTACTAGAGAATCTACCAAGTCTCATCCACCACTGTCACCTTGCTATACTGGTCCTGAATCTCATGTTTGGTCTCGATGAGCATCCCTCCATTGACTACCACAAGGAGGGAAAGGCCCTCAAGAGAGTTGCACCTTTCCAGTACTCCAACAGGCAGATCATTCAGAAGCTAGCATCCACCCTGCAAGCCAAGAGGTTCTCCAAGAGAGAGGGCCAGTGCTTCCGGCTGCTGGTAGTGGCCACACACAGAGACTGTGTGCCAATATTCAGGCTCTCAGCCAGAGTTAAAGCCTTTGACCAGGCTTTGAGGGCTATCCTATTGCCATCCAGCAAGAAAGAGCTCATCTGCTTCTCAGCCGATCAGATTCCATTTGTCCTCAACCTCAAGAAGCCTACCAAGCAGGACGGAGCGACTCGACCTTATCCGCAGTGTGATAATCAAGAGTGCGGTAGGAGAGGTGGTCAAGACACCAGCGTCCTTTCTCGTTTTCGAACAGGAATTGATGGAGTTCGCATGGCAACGCAATCATAGTGGAATCCTTCGCGTCAGCGAGTGCATCACTATTGGTTCAAGGCTTAAGATGAAACCAGAAGATGTAGAAGCTGCTTTGATCTTCTTCCACCGCCAGTTTTCCCTCCTGTACTTCCGCCACATCCTCCCCAACCTTGTCTTCACAAAGCCCCAAACACCACTCGACTGCATTAATGCCGTCGTCAAATTTAGCTACGAGGTGGGGGCTGGAGAAGTGAAGGGAATCGCACAAGAACTGGTGTCGTCTATTAAGGATGGCATCATTTCAGAGGAAATCCTCAGTCACGAACAGCTAGCTCAATGCTTTGTACCTGACCTGTACGAGCCACAGCATGCTATAGACCTTCTCTCCCATACGTTTACCCTGGCTCCACTTAGTCGTGACGTTCAGTCGACGGTAGACGTTAGTCCAGCTTCCTCGAGAAAACCAACTCCACCCATTGAGAGAGAAAAGAGAGAATACCTGATGATGAGTCTTCAGCAACCGGTCCCTGACAAGGACATCCTACGACACCTCCCCCCACCTTCTGCAATAGCTCCACTGGTGGTCCAGTTCACCAACAACTGTGTCCCCCTCAGCTGCTTCTCCAGGACCATCTCCTGCCTATTGGCCACGTACGACTGGAAGTTGACCAGAGCTGACGATGGTTCCCCGCAGTGCCTGTCACACAATGTCGTCTCTCTCTACATGCCGCAGACACCTGGCCAGATTGTTCTTGTCGATGCTGGTCACAGTTTTCAAGTACACATCAGTCCCGGCAAAGGATTGCACCGAAACGAGATGGCCATGATATGCTACCAAGTCAATGAAACGCTTTTCGCAGCCATTAAACAAGTCTTTGACTGCCTGAACCTTGCAGGGATTGAAGCAACCCCAGCCTTCTTCTGCCCTTGCAAGGGAAAACCTCTTTACCACTCGGCATATCCGTCTCTCTTTAACTCCAGATGGCTCCTCAGTTGCTCTCTGAATCAACAAAGTGCCGGAGAGGCCGGCGACCATCACCTGATGTGGCTCAATGTTCCAGTCGCTGAGACAGGGAAACCTTCCCTTCCAAAGCTTCTCAAACTTGGAGTGGTGGAAACTGTTGGAACACATTACTTATCTTTCGGAACATTTTTACTGAACGATGAGACTGGCTCTCGGATTGATGTCATTGAACACGACTGCCTGAGACAGACCCACCGCATCACTCGGAAAATTCTTCAGGAGTGGCTGGCAGGGAGAGGGAAACCTTGCACCTGGGAGACCCTTACCATTACTCTTTGCGACTGTGAACTGAATACCTTAGCAAAGAAGATAAAGCGACAGTATCAATAACTTTGTATTATGTAGTGGGTACATAGCTGTCATGACTATCAAGAACGCAGTATAAACAGTTGTGGCTCTCTCCCCCTTTTCCATTGCAAAAGAGTTTTTTATTATATTTTATTATGTTTATAACATAGTTTAAAAACACTCAGAAAATAAAATTGTGACTTAAGCAGGTTTATTAAATACCTTACTCCTGTTACATCTTACCTCTTGTCTAGCTGGTTAGTGCGTAGTAGACCAATAGGTTCCTGATTTGTCATATGAAGCTCGTATATATATAATTATAAGCTAACAAATAACATGAAAAAAACCTTTTCTAATGGCATTATTATATATTCCATAATTATACTCGGGATATATATCGCTGAGACAGGGAAACCTTCCCTTCCAAAGCTTCTCAAACTTGGAGTGGTGGAAACTGTTGGAACACATTACTTATCTTTCGGAACATTTTTACTAACGTCTGATGTGAATGTGCATATATGTTTGTATAATATTCGTAGCATTGTCAATAAATTATCCAATTTTCAGTCGTTCGTTTATACTTCTGACTTTAATGTTTTCTGTATTTCTGAGTCTTGGTTGTCCAGTTCGATTTATGATCATGAAGTTCTTCATTCTGATTACGTTTTGTACCGTAATGATCGGCTATCTCGGGGTGGTGGTGTATTTATTGCTGTTCATAGCTCTATACCTAGTTCACCTGTTTGTACTCCTACCGATTGTGAAATTGTATCTATCAGGCTGTTATCAAGTAACCTTATTTTATGTACTGTTTATATTCCTCCCAATTGTAGTGAATCTTATCTTCTTTCTGTAATCCAGTATCTCTCCGAGCTTGTCTGTTCTTATACCAAATGTATCATTCTAGGTGATTTCAATTTCCCCGATATTTGCTGGTCATCTTTAACTTGTACCTCTTCTTTATCTAATCTGTTCTGTGACTTTATTTTTGACAATAATTTAACTCAACATGTTATGGTCCCTACCCATATACTGGGTAATACACTTGATCTGGTTATAACTACCCCAGGTGTCAACATTTCTGATTTAGCTGCTACACATCCAGTTCAATCAATTTCATCCGATCACTTTATCATCAGTTTTGTTCTACCTTTTAATTTTCCTATTCATTGTAAACACAAGTCTAGATACGTATTTGACTTTTCCAAAGCTGACTATGACGGAATCTGTTCTTTTATTATGGATTATGATTTTTCTGTTTGTTTTCACAGTACCAATATCGAGTTCATCTGGTTAATGATTAAGTCTGTTATATATCATGCCATGTGTTTGTATATTCCCAAGACTCGTCTGCGTTCTCGACAAGACCCTCAGTGGTTCGATCCCTCCATTCGTCACCAGATTAACTGTCTCAATACCTTGCGCAAGAAGTCCAAGTCTCACCCCTCTCCTCTCAGATTATCAAAGATTGAATTTTTAGAATAACAGTTGCAGCAACATATATCGTCAGCAAAGTCTAAATTTGAATCCCAGTTGTTGATGTCCCTCCGCTCCAACGATACTTCCAAAGTGTTCAGATATGTTCGAACTTTTACTGGCCAAAACAATATCCCTACTACTGTTGCTTTTAATGACATTTCTGCTGAATCTGATCAAGAAAAGGCCAATGTATTTAACAGATACTTCCACTCTATTTTTACCAGGAGTTCTTTCAGCCGTCCGGACCCTCAAGAATTGCCTATTATCTTTCCTAACCTTAGTGACATATCTATTTCTGAAGAAGAAGTATTCCAAACATTAACATCGCTTGATCCTTCTAAGGCTGCAGGCTGTGATAGAATTGGTCCTAAGGTACTGAAGCTCTGTGCTCCAGCTTTATACCAGCCTCTTCACCATCTATTTAGCCTCAGCCTCTCCCAGTCCTATGTCCCAGCCGAATGGCGCCTGCATCAAATCAAACCTATTTTTAAATCAGGTGACAGATGCCTTGTTCAAAATTACCGACCTATATCTCTCCTGTGTATTTCCTCAAAGGTATTAGAAAGGATAGTTTTCAATCAAATCCTCCAATTCGTGAACGACAAAATATCAAATCACCAGTTTGGCTTCATGCTTTATCGTTCCACCCTCCACCAGTTACTCTTATTTTTCAACTCTATTTTCGAATCTTCCAGAAATTCCTCTCAAACTGATGTCTTATACTTGGATTTCAAAAAAGCCTTTGATTCTGTTGCCCACAATGAGCTCCTATTCAAGTTATGGCACATTGGTATAACTGGTAATGCTTGGAAGTGGCTGCTTGCATATTTAACTAACCGAAGTCAATGTGTCTCTATCAACTCTAAAACATCAACCGCTCTCCCTGTGATCTCTGGTGTTCCTCAAGGCAGCATCCTTGGCCCTTTACTGTTTCTTATCTACATTAATGACCTCCCTGAAGTTGTATTGTCTTCTAAGGTCCTGTTGTTTGCGGATGATGCAAAATGTTTCAAATCCATTTCCAACTTTTCTGACTGTATGTGTCTGCAAGATGATCTAAAGAGACTAGCACAGTGGAGCTCTACCTGGAGTCTGCCATTTAATGATAAAAAATGCTCTGCTATCTCTGTTCATTCTGGACACCGTCACCCTCAATTCTCCTTCTCCTACCATCTGAACAACACCCAACTGCTAAGGAAAACAGCTCATACCGATCTAGGTGTTGTGTTGACTCCTGACCTCAAATGGAGAGACCATTATGTGTCCATTATGGCTAAGTCTTATAAAGTACTCGGCTTACTTAGAAGAGTCTTCTCGTCCGTTTACTGCCCCTGGGCTAAGAAACTTCTGTATGTATCCCTCATTCGATCAAAACTACTGTACTGCTCACCCATCTGGCGTCCTCACCTTCTGACAGATATTAAAGCTCTGGAAAATGTACAGAGACGGGCCACCAAATTTATTCTTAACAGCTATGATTCTAACTATCACCTTCGATTGCTTGACCTTCAATTGCTTCCACTAATGATGGTCCTCGAAATTAATGACATACTATTCTTTATTAAGTCCTTGAAGGAGCCATCTGATCATTTTGACATATCCAGATTTGTTACATTTTGTTCTGGCCAAACTCGTTCTGCCTCCTTTGTTAAATTGAAACACGTTTTAGTCACAACCAATAACTCTACTCGAAACTTCTACTTCAATCGCCTACCTCGCCTTTGGAACTCTCTCCCTCGTATTGACATGAGTCAACCAATAACATCTATAAAAAGTAAACTCTACAAATTGTTTTGGAACCATTTCACTACGAACTTTGATCCTGGCAATGTGTGCTCATTCCACTACCTCTGTCCCTGTGCTAAATGCTGGTCACTCCCAGTCTCCTTCAATTTTGACTCTTCTCTCCTCTAAATAATTAACTATAATTATACTGTGTTTCTTTTATTAGGCTGCTGGTGCACATCACCAGCAGACCTTCAGCACCATTCCACATTTTCACTGCCCTGTCTGCTTCTGTTACCTCACTAAGTGCTGTAAAGTCATAATAATAATAATAATAATAATAATAATAATAATAATAATATACCGGATTAAAATGAACCATCGGCCCATCCGCGTGTATATAATACCCTCACCGCGCTAAGTACAAACGCGCACATGGCCTTCAGAACTCATTCCGGACGGATGTCACAGCGCATGTGACAGGAATTACCCCATCATACGGACGGATGTCACAGACGCAGTGACAAGCAAAAGAGCTCTCGCGCGTCTCTTTCAGAAATAACAGCCAGCCACGCCTGAAGGCTACACACCCAACTACTACTGGGAAACCCCCTGGAGTACTTTAGCGCCAGTGTGGGCGGCATTCTTGTGGCTGGCAAAGAACGCAGCGTTTATACACGCAGCTTGTAAAGTGACAAACACGATCTTATACATCAGGTGTAGTGATACAAAGACTTTAGCTAACGCTATTTATGATTGAAAAGCTAGGAAATAAGCTTAGAAGGCTGATCACGAGCATTTGTGACAGTAGTTGAGCGCTTTCATGCTCCAACTGACTTCCATGTCTTGTATGCACCTGCAAGAGACGGCAAAAGAGTAAACTCGACAGAGTAGCGTAGGTATAGATATTTAGGACGCATGCAAGTACTCTTGTATGACTGTGCTAAGCCTAGATGTCGTAATATGGCCTCTACTAGAGAGAAAACCGTGCTGTGCACCGCAGAAGCACACACTATCGATCGCACTACATCGCAATAGTGTATTTTCTATCACACACGCTCCCGTATCGCTGCTGTTTTGACTGCCAGTAAGTATTCAGTATTTATCTACTGTCCATGGAGCCTTTTCTCACGTTTCTTATGTACTATATTTTGTGAGCCAGACTGCTCCTAAAAAGAAAAGGTCGGGGTCAAAGCTTTAGTCTTCAAAACGGGCCGCTTTACACGAGCGAAAACACACATTCATGCATGTATTTACCTTTGGTACTGTTCCCAGCATCACTTCTCTCTCGTTCTGCATCTGTAACAAGTCTCTGTGCTAGCTATAAGGCAACAAACTCCCGAGAGAATCCACACGAAGCGTCTTCCCACTACACGCATAGGAAAAAACTGCCGACCGTGCAATAAATTTCGCGCATGCGCGCGTCGTCCACTAAGAGTTAAAAAGGTGTTACCAGTTATCAGAAGTGTGAGTAAAGACACAGATAGCCTAAGGGGAAGATAAATTGCCGACTGAGCTATACTTATAGGCTTCTACATAATTATACACAGGCATTTCTGGCTCGATGTGTGGCAAGGCTATATAGCTAGCTTAGTAAGAGCCTACATGTATATGCAAAGAATAGACATCGTGCCCATTTTTATTCCCCTTTACCCTACAACATTAACTCCTTTGGGTTGAAGACTAGTGCATTTGCGTTTTGCACATCAGTCCCGGCAAAGCCTTGCACCGAAACGACATGCCATGATATGCTACCAAGTCAAATAAACACTTTTACAGCCATTAGACAAGTCTTTGACTGCCTGAACCTTGCCGGGATTGAAGCAACCCCAGCCTTCTTCTGCCCTTGCAAAGGAAAGCCTCTTTACCACTCGGCATCTCCGTCTCTCTTTAACTCCAGATGGCTCCTCAGTTGCTCTCTGAATCAACAAAGTGCCGGAGAGGCCGGCGACCATCACCTGATGTGGCTCGATGTTCTAGCCACTGAGACAGGGAAACCTTCCCTTCCAAAACTTCTAAAACTTGGAGTGGTGGAGACGGTTGGAACACATTACCTATCTTTCGGAACATTTTTACTGAACGATGAGACTGGCTCTCGGATTTATGTCATTGAACACGACTGCCTGAGACAGACCCACCGCATCACTCGGAAAATTCTTCAGGAGTGGCTGGCAGGGAGAGGGAAACCTTGCACCTGGGAGACCCTTACCATTACTCTTCATGACTGCAAACTGAATACCTTGGCAAAGAAGATAAAGCAACAGTATAAATAATATGTGTAACCTTTTACACTGGTTTAATGTAATAATAATTATTCTTTGTATGGGCACGTAGCTTTCATAACCATCAAGACACATGGCTCTTCCCCTTTTCTGCTGCAAAAGGGTTTTAGTTGTATATAGCAGATTAGTTAAAAAAGACAAACACACCACTATCAGAGAACAGTGTGACTAAAGCTGGGGTATTAATTTTCAGTTATCAGAGAGTCGGTAGACTCTCTATATAGGGATGAGACGGGTGAAATCTCACGTGATCCGCGTACAAAACGACTAAAAACTCGGTGAGAATCACTTCCTAGGCCTTCAAAACATACTAGCAATAGTCTACGGGCCCATATCTACCTATACATGTCCCCCAAGAGCTCATACGCACCTTCAGTCGTCCACGCGAGAATTCGCTCATACGCGATTTCACGATTTTCGTGTCATCATATTCTTCATCTTCTTCTTCTTCTTCTTCTTCTTCTTCTTCTTTAAACCCGCTATCTCCTTACCAGTACCAGTTCAAGCACTGGTTTTTTCACTGAAGGTCTCCAATTTCGCCGGAGGTGTGCACGGACATCAAGCGATCGTTTCTTTCTTGCCGCTAGTCACTACGGTAGATCATGGAGTTCTTCCCTGGTCGACCTGAACAACGCCATTTGCTGCTTACTCAGCATCAGTGATCCGCGCGCATGCGCCAGGCAGGGGCGTTGTCCAATGTGCTTGCGAGCGTATTCTACCGGGCGAGTTGGCAGACCTGCAGAGGAACTGTCAGCCTCCAGTACCTTCTGTAAGTAAGTGTGCACATTTCCAACTGGCTATCTTGCTGTTCATTTGCACGAAGAGCAACTTGCCAGAGTCTGCGCGGTGTTAGCCTTGCGGGGCACTCAGTCAAATGGGCCTTCATTGTTTGTCCCCCCAGGTTGTAGCCTGATTACCAAAGCCTGCCAATGAAACCACAACCATGTGCAATAATCTAATTACATCCTTGTTGAAGACAATACATGGTATCTAGCAGCCCCATTAGCTACTACTTACAATTTGTCTATGGTAGCCTATCTCCATGAACATCAGAGTGACTGTAACAATAAATGCCAAAAGCTGTTAAAAATAGTGGAAACAAGTGGAAAAATCATTTCTTCAAAATGAAAGGGGGATATAGGGATGGCTTGAAGCGCCAAAAAGGAAGAAACAAGGGGTCATTACACAGCAAAGTTGCACAAAGCTACATGACACCATCCCTATATCTTTGTCTCATAGTAAACTTTATATACTTGTGAACTATATTATATAACACAAAGATATAGGGATGGTGTCATGTAGCTTTGTGCAACTTTGCTGTGTAATGACCCCTTGTTTCTTCCTTTTTGGCGCTTCAAGCCATCCCTATATCCCCCTTTCATTTTGAAGAACTGATTTTTCCACTTGTATATATACAAAGTGTGAATCTGACCTTGACTATTCCATGAGTTACTGCAGCTCTGCTGGCTCTTAGAATTAGCAAGGTGTTACCGGTGATCAGAAGTGTTTAGTAAAAAAATCACAGATGGGGGATGATAAATAGCCGACTTAGCTACTTTTAGGCTTCTACATTATTATACACAGACACTTCCATGCAGCTAGATGCGTAACAAGCTCTCACACCTTGACTCGAGCCATTTAGCCGTCTTGTTCTTTGAGAACAGGATCATGGCCTCAAGTGCAAGTGTACTAGCATAACTTTGGTTTCTCACGTATCATGCGATCCAATTTCACAATGCAGTCTCATCAGATGACTTGAGAGTAATGTAATCAGTAGTCTCTCTGCCGAGCTTGAAGGAGCTATAAGCTGTGCAAAACAGCACTTGAACAGTAGGGAGATCAAGAAAGAAAACAGCTTCACCAGGCAGTAAAATACTTGCATCCTGTGACCACTTATGCATGCTTGCAACGAGAGTTTGGTAGTAACCATTCATTTCTAAAATTTCAGCAGACTCCAAAACTCGCCAAAGTGGACCAGTAACAACCTTGTTGATAATACCTAGCAGCTAGTTCTCTGCATCATCTTCTTCTGATAACACAAGATGCCGTGTCAGCAGCCCATCAAAATGAGCAATACCTCATCTAAGCAACGGCTAAGAAGCAGAATAAGCCATGCCAACAAGAACATGCATGCCACAGAAAAAATTGTTCAGGTTAACCTAGAGAATATGCATTATCACAATGGAAAAAAATTTTCAGTTTAGCCTAGCCCAGTACTGTGTTTAGTTGGTGCAATGATTCTCTGAATATATACATCAGTGCATCCAGACCGGCTGGGGAGGTAGACTGAGAACACAAACACTGGGGCTGGGGAGAGTCAATTCCTAACATTCGGTGGGAGGACACAATGGGGGTCGGTTTTATAAGGTGGTCTAGTTGGGAATTCCATCCTATGGCTATATACTCCACCATGGCCGCTAAGTAGTTGGGGGGTACAAAATAACGGATGTTGCTGTCATGGTGGGCACGCCGCCAAGAACCTGTAGTCAGAATGCAGTTCCTGATCTTTTGAATATTGTTATCGTTTCAGAGATTGCAATAAGGTCCGGGGAGTCGTCATTAAGTAAGTGTTCTAGATACTGATGATTGGAAGATAGTCCACAAACATTGAGACAGCAAACAATTATACTACTAGGAGACGGTAGATTTGGGTAAGTATAATTATACAGGTGCGAGTTTGGGCTGCATACATGCGATGAGTCTGGGAGGGAGATTATGGGAAATGAATTAAGCCGTTGAAGTGTGCTACATTGGCAGGATCTTGTGAATTCCCATTCACTGTGCAGGTAATTGAGGGGTAAGGACTAATTTGTGGAGGGAAGGTTCTCTTGGGATAGCCCTGGAGGTTGAGGCATAGTGGAGCAGCGATTAAAAAAGGAGATGGAATGTGGGCGGACTGGAGGGGGGCTGGTTAGTGATTAGAGTGATGGGTGAGTACAGGACATGGAAGGGGGAGAGGGGAGGGTAGATTGGGCTGGTATATATACTGGGTTGGATACTGAGAGCTTCACAGTGGATGCAGGAGGGGGTGACCATGGGTTCACTGCTGGGAGGGTGGGTGGTGTGTATTGTGTAACTCATGGACGGAGGAGAAGCTTGGTTTTGGGGGGTGGTTAGGTCCAGGACGGCTGGAGAGTGACTGGATTAGAGACCAGGAGGTCTTGTCTTCCAGTATGTGCTGTACTCTCTTTCATTACTGTAGTGTATTGATTGTGTATGTGACACACATCTTGAGGTCATCTGTTATGTAATCATGTGTGAGCATGAGCCTATATAAGCAGCTGTGCATCTTGTCTCCTGGTTGTACGTGTAGAGCTCAATAGTATTTTTTCATACAACTACGGGCTCCTCTCTCCACGTGGCTGAACGCGTGCTAGTTTACCGTTAGACCTCATGAGTCTACAACAATTTGGCGACGAGGACGAAGCAGTTATGTCCACGTCTCCCACGAGTGGGGGAGGAGAACCTCCAGCAGCTGCAGTCGTTGCAGCGCCGCCACCGTCGGTTGGACTACACGGCGCCGTCGCCATGTTCGACCCGTCGCAGGACGATTGGTGTGAATACATCGAGCGATTGGAGCACTATTTCGCGGCAAACGACATCGCTTCTTCCGAGAAACGACGTGCGATTCTACTGAACGCCGTAGGAGCGGCAACCTACCGTTTGATCAGGACTTTGGTTGCACCAGCCAAGGTGTCGGAGATATCGTTCGAAGGCCCACTTTAACCCGAAACCGTCCCCTATAGTCAAGCGTTTCGAATTCAACACGAGACGTCAAAAATAGAACGAGTCCGTCGCTGTCTACGTAGCTGAACTTCGCAAAATCGCAGAGTACTGTGAGTACGGCAGAGTTCTGAGCGACATGTTGCGTGACCGTATAGTATGCGGGATCCTTGATCGAACCGTTCAGCGCCATCTCTTACAGCAGCCCGACCTCACCTTTGAAAAGGCTTTGGAGATAGCCCTCGCCAGCGAAGCAGCCGACAAAGACTCGAAACGCCTCAACCTCAGCGCCGCCCCTGATAAAGATCTCCCCGATAGGGAAGGTCAAGGACGGCCCATCTCGCACGCCTCCTTCCCACCACAAAGGCCACCGCAATCCCAAGCGTGGGAAGCCATTCAAGAGCGAGAAAAGCCAACAAGACACTCAGAGTCAGGGGAAGAGGGAGTGTTCCAGGTGTGGGGGAGAACACAACTGTCCCTACAAGAAATACGAGTGTAACTACTGCAAGAAAAAGGGTCATCTAGCCCGCAAATGCAGAAAGAGAATTCGAGAGGGACAAGGGCAACCGACTAACCGAGTGGGCGATAGGGACATTTCTCCGGATGATTCGGTTTACTCGATATTCAATGTCAGTTCGGGTAACACAGCTCCACTATATGCCACTGTCACGGTAAATGGCAACCCACTCTCTATGGAGATCGACACGGGAGCCTCAGTATCGATGGTCAGTCTGGAGACCTTCAACGCCATCCGAAGAGGAGAGTCTACTCTAGAGCTAGCGGAGCCAACAGTGAAACTATGTTCGTATTCAGGAGAGCCAATAAGAGTGTGCGGCACGACTCAGGTGCCAGTGGTCTACCACAAGCAAACGATGACACTTCCACTAGTTGTCACAGAGGTGAATGGCCCAACCCTACTAGGCCGTAATTGGCTCGAAGCTCTTCGTCTGGACTGGCGTACAATTTTCCGTATCGGGAAGAACCTCGCACTCCAGCAAGTACTCGATCGGCACGCAGACGTATTTAAGGAAGAGCTCGGAAAACTGAAGGGCACCACAGCGAAGATCTACATCGAGAAACATGCCACACCTCGGGTCGAGAAGGCTCGTCCGGTTCCGTTTGCTGTTCGTCACAAGGTAGAGCAGGAGCTTGACCGACTACAAGCTCTTGGGATCATTCAACCGGTCCAGTTTTCCGACTGGGCTTCTCCGATCGTACCAGTCATGAAACCCGACGGAGCCGTGAGGATATGCGGAGATTACAAAGTTACGATAAATCGTGCAGCCAAGATCGATCGGTACCCCATCCGTCGCATTGAGGAACCTTTTGCGTCACTGTCGGGAGGGAAACAGTTCTCAAAACTCGACCTTTCACACGCGTACCTCCAGATCACCTTGGATGCACCGTCACGTCGTCTCGTAACGATCAACACCCACAGGGGACTTTTTTAATACACCCGTCTCCCTTTTGCCATCGCTTCAGCGCCCTCAATTTTTCAACGCCTGATGGAGAACCTCCTACAAGGCATCCCACGGGTATGCGTATACCTCAACGACATATTGGTGTCAGGTACCACCGAGCAGGAACACCTGGCAAATCTCGAGCAAGTCCTCGAACGACTCGAATCCGCCGGAATGAAGCTGAAACGCCCCAAATGTGCATTCCTCCTGAACTCAGTCGCATATCTCGGTCACGAAATTAGTGCGGAAGGACTCCACACCACCAAAGCCAAAGTGAAGGCCATTGTGGATGCACCAAGCCCAAGGAACCTGACTGAACTCCGCTCCTTCCTAGGTATGGTAAATTACTATGGTAAATTTTTACCTAACCTAGCGACCACACTAGCTCCACTTTACGAATTGTTGTGTCAGACAAAAGCCTGGACGTGGGGGCCCAGGCAGAGGAAGGCTTTTCGCCAGGTTAAGGGGTTACTTCAGTCCAATAAAGTGCTCACACATTTTGATGACCAACTGCCACTATTGTTAGAATGTGATGCATCTCCGTATGGACTTGGCACTGTCCTTTCTCATCGCATGCCAGATGGTTCAGAGAGACCGGTGGGGTTCGCCTCACGTACGTTGTCAAAAGCCGAGACCAACTACTCTCACCTCGATAAAGAGGCCCTCGCCATCATCTTTGAGGTAAAGAAGTATCACCAATACCTCTATGGTCGCCAGTTCGAAAAAAAAACGACCATAAACCCCTCACGCACCTCTTCAATGAAAACAAGACCATACCGGCAATGGCTTCTGGTAGGATCCAGAGGTGGGCTCTTTTGTTGTCAGCCTACGATTACACCATCCAGTACAAGCAAGGCAGGACCAATGCCAACGCAGACGCTCTCAGTCGCCTACCTCTACCATCCGATACGCGCGAGACTCCGATACCAGCCGAGGTCATACACCTCATGGAGCATTTAGATGCCACTCCACTATCCAGCTCTTAGATCCGACAGTGGACGGATCAAGACCTGACTCTTTCAAAAGTCAAACGCTGGGTAATGGAGGGATGGCCGGATCAACCTGACTCAGATCAAGAGTTGGCACCGTACGTTCAGAGGAGGTTGGAGCTGGGGGTTGAAGGGGGTTGTTTGTTGTGGGGGTGTAGGGTTGTGGTTCCACCGCGTGGAAGGAAACGGGCATTGCAGATGCTACATGAGTCCCATCCGGGCATGGTGAGGATGAAGGCTCTCGCCAGAAGTTATATGTGGTGGCCCGGGATGGACAAAGAGATCGAACAACATGTGAAGCAATGTTCCGACTGCCAGACTACCCGGAAAGACCCGCCACCAGTTCCAATCCACCCTTGGACCTGGCCTGAGAAACCTTGGAGCCATATCCACATCGATTATGCTGGGCCAATGGAGGGGAATTATGTTCTTACTCATGATGGATGCACATTCGAAGTGGATGGAAGTCCACAGCACGAACTCGGCAACATCAACAGCGACGATCGAACTACTCAGGAAATCGTTCGCTACACTGGGTCTACCCGAAGTCGTCGTCTCAGACAATGCTACAGCGTTCACCAGTTCGGAATTCGTCGAATTTTTGAAAAGAAATGGAATCCGTCACGTCAGAACTCCGCCCTACCATCCGGCGTCAAATGGCCTTGCCGAGAGAGCCGTACAGACCTTCAAGGAGGGGTTCAAACGACTACAGGATGGATCAATCAATACACGGATATCACGATTTCTTTTCAAATACCGTCTGGCACCCCATTCATCCACGGGGGTTTCCCCAGCAGAACTAATGTTTGGACGGAAATTGCGTTCCCAGTTAGACCAAATCCGACCAAGTTTGGGGGAAAGAGCTCGTGAGTCTCAGGACCAACAGAAACTGAATGACGACAAGCGGTCCCGAAGCAGATCTTTTACTCAAAACCAGCAGGTTTATGCAAAAAAACTACGGACCAGGCCCGAAGTGGCTACCAGGCGTGGTTGTTGAGCTGGAAGGATCTGTGCTGGTACAGGTGCGCCTAGCTGATGGTCGCATGGTTCGTCGTCATGTGGACCAACTCCACCCTCGTGTGGGAGAGATGGAAGAAAATGGCTCTAGCCAACACCAGAGATCGGAAGAGGGTGATAATGCGATTGACACAGAACCGGAAATACCTACTTCAGATAGTACTCCCAGCACAGAACCACCACCAGCATCTACGGAGAACGACCAGCAAGTCAGTGAGTCTGCTAACGCAGAAGGACTGTCTCCTGATAACATGACGAGTGGGTCTCAGGAATCTGTGAGTGAGTCTGCAAATGCAGAGGGACTTTTACCTGATCAAGAACAACACGTGGGTTCCAGGGAACCTGCTAGAAGATCTGGAAGGGCGAGGAAACCACCCCAGAGGTATGAAGGACACTTTTCTTCATAATTCATTTTTGTATCACTTTTGAGTATTTGTAATCTTAAGGAGGAAATTGTAGTGTATTGATTGTGTATGTGACACACATCTTGAGGTCATCTGTTATGTAATCATGTGTAAGCATGAGCCTATATAAGCAGCTGTGATTTTAGTATCTCGTCTCCCGGTTGTACGTGTATGAGCTCAATAGTATTTTTTCATACAACTACGGGCTCCTCTCTCCACGTGGCTGAACACGTGCTAGTTTACCGTTAGACCTCTTGAGTCTACAACAATTACCAAAGCCGGAGCCATAATGGTGTACCACCACATTGGACAGCTGTCCCTGTGACGAACTGAGCATGCTACTGTAATTGAGAGTGTTTGACACAGGTGTGAGCAAACGGCCTTGTGCACAACCTGGGACATGCAATTGCTTTTGGTTCCCAAGGCAATCCTGTTGGTCTAGGTCTATTTGCCAGTGGTCAATCAGGTTGGGAGGTGACCGTATTGACAGTATTAGTCGACTGTGAGTGTTTCTGGCAGGAGGAAGATGGTTGATGGTTGACGGTTAACAGTGACCATTGACCATTGCGGACCTCTGCTGTCGTACTGTTAGAATAGAAACCAGAGCTGATGTTCTTTGGAGCTTCTCTCAGAGTGACTGAGTAAGAGAATTTAGTCGGGAGATTTCATACTCTAGGGATAGGAGTCTTGTGTTGAATTCTGCCCTAACAGCACTCTTGATTCTCTTGTCACTTGGTCAGCACTTACCACAGGGGGTCGTGTAACATGTGGGCTCACAGAGAGAGGGGTTGCTACCTACACGACAACCATCTTCGTCGAAAAGCCAGACAACGCCCATTGTCAGATTCCAATCTTCGCAACAGGTCTCGTGCACACGATTGGGGTATTGTGAGAAGTAACTTGTTGTGCAGCTGGTCTTCCATGGCTGCCTGTTGGGAGCAGCATTGCGATTACCGTTCTCATCCGAGATTGGGAGGTGGATTGGGCCTGCACATTTCCGATTATGGGTTGCTGCGAGATAGAGCAAAGTGATTGAGATATTGGTTGAGCGATATTGCTGCTGATGTTGGTTGTTTTCATACTACTCTGGATGCTGGAGGCGACAAGGGTAGGGGTTTCAGCAGATGATAATGGAGGGTTGCATCGAACACTGCCACTCGCTTGGTGTTAAATATCAATGGCAACCTGGGGGGGGGGCAGTGATACAGGGGCTCTAGTGCTTGGTAATGTTGTAGGTGGCAGGGGGAGAGCAGCTGGTTGAGGGGGGAGGTTGAGGCTGGTAGATCTGGGAGGTAGGTGTACAGGGAGGGCAGGGTGAGGAGCAATGAGCGGAGGAGGTTGGTACTAGAGAGCTTATCACATTTGGAGGAGGCGAGGAGCTGTTGATATATAGATACAGGACTGGGGTCTGTGCACAGGGTGTCTCCCATTCTGTCCTTGAGTGCTTGGTCGCTGCTAATGGGCCTCATCTGTGACAGAGAAACCGACACTGTTTAGCTCTGCATAGTGTGAGTCTAGCACACTGGATGTGCGATAATTACACTCAACTGTAGATTTCCCTGTATTCCTAACCCCACAGACACAGAGTACCTCGCCCGGTGAAGTTGTGCAGACGTAGCTGCAGGGAGGAGGGGCTGTTGCACGGCTAGGAGAGCGGGGTTGGTAATTATAGTGCCTGGATACGGGGGTGGTAGTCGTTACAGCGGCTCGTCGTACTATTTTTGTGCGCATGCGTTCACGGGCGGACAGATATGCACAATTACGTAAACACAAGTGCGCATGCGCTGCGCCGCGCTGGAGCATGCGAGCGCGATCGCGGCAGTACAAAAAGTTAGGTATATACATAAGTTTGCGTTGCAGCGCGTGCGTTGACATTACTTCCGGCAAAGGATTAGCTACGTTTCTCCGAACTAGTCCGAAGATGCGAGGATTGTATGGCTTCACTGTTGTACCTCTACTTCTGGCGCTCTTTGTAGGACATAATACTTTTGGTACGGGTAGCTATATTGAGAGTGGGGTGTCTACTTTTTCTGGAAAAACATGACTCTGTTTGTTTGTGCTTGGCAGTTACTGCACAGCAGTGTTCTGAGGATGGAGAAGTTAGGTTGGTCGGCGGAGAAAATGTGAACCAGAGCGGAGTCAGGGGGAGAGTGGAGATTTGCATCAATCACCAGTGGGGTACTGTGTGCAGTGATGACTGGGGACTGTTAGAGGCCCGAGTTACCTGCCGGCAAATGGGATTTGATTGTCAGTAAACGCTAGTATAAGTTAGTTTGTGATAAATAAGGACTTTTTGTTACATGTGTCCATTGGCTATAAACTGGTGTTCACTATACCGCATTGCATTGCCTATGTAACAAGGAGGTAGCATATGTAGCTAGCTGTGAAACCCAAAAGTAAACATATTATGTATATTTGTCAACCTACATAACCATGCAGGTAAACAAACATGCAGCATCACTTTATCTATGTGGCTGTCAGCAAAAATAATGGAAATAATAATTTTGTTTAAGCTGAGTGACAGGGTTAATATGTTTGATAATAGTAGTCAGGTGGCAGCCATAGCACTAGGGCCATACACCATGCACCCAGAGCAATGGGCGGAAACGTTAACAAAATGAACACACACCATACAATGAACATGAGGTGTCTGTCTTACCTCCGAGACACCTCATTTCACCCCTTCCACCAGCGACACCCTGCAGCTCCCCAGACGCAATCTAAGGTTGGGTCTGTTGTATGCTGTCATTATCCCCGTAGAACCTAACCTTTCTTAGCCCCCGAAACTTCCAAAATATAACCTGTTTGTCTGAAGATAAATGACAACGAGATTTTGTAATGATAGAGCAAATTAAAATGAGTTGCTGTGTAGGTAATGGTGCGATCTATGCAAGTTCTGCATGAGATGTAGTATATAGCGGTTGTGTTCTTTGGTAATTTAGCTATAGCTGTTTGGTCAACCTAGAAATCGTATTACTAGCACATCCTATTGGCCCTCATCATTCAGATGCTGTCCCTATTGCTGAATATGGTGGAGGCTCAGGCAAAATTCACTCCTTTTCATGTGTTGGGGATGAAACTCATCTTGGTAACTGCAGTGGTGATATGGACATTACCTACTGTGGTCACAGCGAAGATGCTGGAGCAATGTGTTCAGATTTTGGTTAGTGTATTTTATACAATGGTTTTGTTAATTGTATTTACATGCATTAGCTGAGTGTAATGAGACTGGTGTTAGACTGGTTGATGGAGTGACTCCTGATGATGGAAGAGTGGAGATATGTCTGGGTGGGGTGTGGGGCTCAGTATGTGACGATACATGGGACATCAGAGATGTCAGAGTAGTGTGTCGACAATTGGGCTACAACGGAAGTGAGTAACCAATGCATACTAGCTGTACCACACTGAGACTTGTGAAAATTTCTCTAAGCTAAAACTGAGGATCCTTTTCTTTCTGCGTATATAGCTACTGTAGTTGGAATGGCTATAGCATGGTAATAGATGAATACTGTAGTGGTGTATAAGGCATATATAGTATTTGTGTGGTGTGGAGGAATGCATACATAGTGATAAAAAACTAACCTTCTTAACATTGGTATGGGGATGGAAACCTGCAATTGTGAGTTGTCCTTGTTCTTCATGTATTGCCTCCTATTGAAGATAAACTCCGAACAGTTGCAGTCAATTTGATCATTGCACTCATCTAGCTATGGGGAGGTGTTTTCGGCCTCAATTGTGTGCTAACCTTTGCATGTGTCAACTACGAAAGGCAAAGGCACAACAAACAAGTCCCACCCGGGACAGACTGTTTTCCCCAGTGGGAGTTCTAACCCATCACTCTCCATTATAGGCAAGCACTGTACAAACTGAGCTATATCAATTGTGTGCTAACCTTTGCACGTGTCAACTACGAAAGGCAAAGGCACAACAAACAAGTCCCCACCCGGGACAGATCTGTTTTTCCAAGGGGTCATTCTAACCCATTACTCTGCACTATAGACGAACACTGTACAAACTGAGCTACAAAGGTAACTCAGCTGAGAGGGGTTCAAATCTTCAACACAGAGGCAAAGAGGGCACAGGACCTTGTACAAGCTACCAGTGGAAAAGCCTTGTGGGGGATGAATCACATTAGTTCAGAACCACAAGCGCTGTGCTCCAGGTTGCCTGAGCAATGCCTTGTGGTGATGAATCTCAATAGTTCAAAACCACAAGTGCTATGCTCATGTCACCCTTTATAAACTCGTGGTAGAGAAGTTGCGGTATGCTCTGCTGATGAGAGCCAACAAGCCCGAAACAGCTGTCCATATAGCTCGCATCTTTTTTCTCTTGGCATCACATGGTATTTATACAAGTGTCAACAACTAGTTAGCGAGGTAGAAAGGCAAGGCAAAGTAAACAAGTCAAATGTACCCAGGATAATTCTTTCTTTTCAAGGAATCTACAACAAAACACAACACACAGGCAGTGTGCAGAGAGCATCCACTTCAGATGAACGTGCTTTGAGCACGTTTCAGCTAATGCAAGAATAGTCTGCATTTATATGACTTTAGAGTCATTGTAGCTAAGTGCAAAATGAAGTCTCACTGTGTCAATTGAGAGCCTATAGTCTTCTGTAGCTATTGTAAATTGGCAAGGAACTGCCCAGTTTTTCACTATGACATCACCACCATGCATAAATAAGATGAAAAACATGTAATTGAAACCAACATTAATTTGTTAAGATGGCAGATAAATTATAGGAAACTTTCATTGTTCCTACAGCATCTATTCCCCTGTTATCCTATCCTGTGATTTCAAGTAATGGCTCATTATTCTATCATCTGGATGAAGTAGACTGCACTGGAGATGAAACGTTGCTAAGTGATTGTGAACATGGTGGGCTAGGTATTCACGATTGTCGAGTAAGATTTGAAGAAGCTGGAGTTATATGCAACGGTATGTCATTTCTTCAGTTGTTTTGTTCTGAAATACTTTAATAAACGATGGCTTATTTACTAGCCACTGTAGAGTGCAATGAGACTGGTGTTAGACTGGTTGATGGAGTGACTCCTGATGATGGAAGAGTGGAGATATGTCTGAGTCGGGTGTGGGGCTCAGTATGTGATGACTTGTGGGATGTTAGAGATGCCAGAGTAGTGTGTCGACAACTGGGCTACTACGGAAGTGAGTTTAGCATTGTAGCTAGCTACCCCTTTTTTCACTCTGTGACTTGACTTGCTTTGCTTTTTTATATAAACTTTTTCAGTATCCTTTCCACTACAAAGTCATCCTGTGCGTATGAATGATTCCATACTATTTTATCATCTGGATGACGTGGAATGTAGAGGAAATGAAAATATGCTGAGTGATTGTGGCCATGAAGGGATTGGGGTTCATAATTGTTTTGTAAGATTTGAAGAAGCTGGAGTTATTTGCAGCGGTAAGTTCTTTTAACTTCTGTGGAATTTTATTGTGATATCCCTGACTGTGGTAATTGTACGGAGTTGCTATAATTAGGGCAAGCTAACTTAGTTGTCCAAACAAACGTGATTTTCATAGGTCTGTGCTAATTAATGGTGTATGAACTTGATTTGCTGGCGCTCTTGTTCCTGCTAGAGAGAAATGCTTTAGCTATATTCACGTACAAATTATTTCGCTCTATATAGCAATATGCTCTCTATACACTCCACATAGCAGCTTAGCTTTCAAAATTTTCACAATGAATCATATTGAATTGCCATGACATGCCATGCAGTGTTGCCCTGTCAGGCCATGCAGCATTGCCGTGTGTAAGAATACCTATATCTGTCTTCAGTGGGTGATGCGTAGCTACTGCACAGCACGACGGGGCAATGCAATGTTCTGTGAACCCACCATTAATTCTAAACACGAGGTTATGTATTGCACGATAGCTGAAAGAGAGAAAATGTTGAGACCGCCCACTCGCCGTGATCCTACCCTCACACAGTATATACCAACAGCTCAGGCACACGTGGACAAAAAGCAAACATAATCTTGAAAAAAACTTGGGCATCCCCGCACACTCTGATTGTGTTATCTCCTAAAACATAAATTAACCCTTTGGACGCCATGGGTATCTCCTTAAACAAGCAGAAATTGATGTATATTTTAACGCATAGTATTATAGCCATATATAAATTTTTATTGACTTATGGAGGCTCTGGGAATATAATATATATGCCCGTGGCTTAAGTCTCTAAGCTGTTAGAATTTACACACAGCAATCTGACTCAGAAACATCATCTAGACTTATATATAATTATTATAAAACTCTTCCATGCTTAGATGAATACATTATGTTGAGCACTCCTATTTGTGTACATGTAGCAAACAAACATCAGTGCTGAGCCAGTTTATTTACCCATTCTAGTCTAATTCCTCAACTGACTGCTGACATAGGTACTGAGCCTGTTTGTTTTCTTACTGTATCACTACACCATTATAGTCCAATAACCTCATATGACTGTTGTAATAGGACTGTTTAAACAGACAGAAGCCACAACCTAATGAGCTCCTTTATAGGCAACCTTAAAAAAGGTGTTAGCTACTGGGCTTTTAATCACTACCATGTACCTAACACATCCATTGAGTATGACCTCCCTGAGAGAAACAGGTGGAAGGTTGTGTCGCTTTTCAATGGACAACCAAGCTTACTTAGGGAAATAGAAAGTTTTAGATTCCATCTCGGCTTAGGGTTTTCCTGATGCAAATTTTTCCACTTGCATTAACTAACATATTCACGCTGCCACTGATAGCTTTCATCACGGAGTTACGTAAAATACAATTAAATCTGCATGTCTCATGTACCTCAGATTCAATGGTAGGTTTGGTTATGTGTTTGTTTCTATAGATGATCTGGTAGGGCTGTGAGAATGGAGGAGTGAGACTACAAGGAGGATCCAACCATCCACTGGATATGTGGAATTTTGCCACGGCAGAAGATGGGGAGGTCTCTGCAGCCGTCCTTGGGATATCAATGGTGCTAGAGTTGTGTGCAGGCAGCTCAGTTCTGACCCAGAAAGTGTGTTCTTTGTTTTACTTCACTCTCAAGCATCAATACTCCATACTTAGATGCAGTAATAATTGATGGCCCTAAAGGTGTTGAGGATTCTCTAGTGTTTATGGGTCAGGTGACATGTAGAGGCTCTGAGAAATACTTGAATGAGTGCATACCTGACATCATGCCACTAGCTGGAGGAGGCTGCAGCAGAGCAGCTATTTCATGTGGAAAAAGCTCGAGTAAGAAAAGATGGTTGAGGATTTGGGCACTATGAAAAGTGTTTCCACTACTCTTTTGATAGTAACTATTAACTATTTTACAGCTATGTTCTCAGCACAGGTGCAACAGGGAAATATAGGTTCTCGAATGACAGTGTTATAATCGTGTTTATGCTGGTATGCCCAAAGGCTCTTTGACCGACATTAAGCTTCCAAGTATAAGCATGCTAATAATAATATTATGCCGAGTGTAAAATTAAGCCATAAAATTGTACTTCTAGCTTACTCCCTTTTCAATTGTTATCCCGACAGAGTATATATGTCCAGTAGCAGTATAGGAAATATCTTGCATAGAGAGTAGAATGTGCCATCATTCCACGTCAGTAGGTATTGTGTTGAATGTATAATACCTTTTCCAGATCAGCCGAAATGTACCCGGAACGACAGTGTGTTATTGAGTGATGTTTATAAGAGGTATTGAAAAAACCTCTTTGTTCGTTTAACAGAGGGAATAATACTATATCATATATTTCTTCCTGTCTGTCGGATTATTGTGGTTTGCGGATAGCTATACCGAATCAACCTGACAAAAGTAGTGCTAACCAAGGTGTGGAAGAAAATTCCAAGTTTCTTCATTAATAGCTTCTCATAGCATGTAGCATAACATTAGCAGTTGCACTTAGAAACTACAAAGATTTCTGCACTAGTGTTAGGCTATTATAATCAACAGTTTGGTACAATAATTGCAATACAATTTTCTCAGCTATGGAGAGTGTTCAGTATACAAGTGGGAAACTGCTGTATGTGAAGGTGTGGTGAGACGTGGGATTGACAGCGTGTATGCCAGGTCAAGGCTGGGAGACCAGAGCACCATTGCTCAACTACTCAATGAGAGTATCAAGGATGTGGAGAGATTAATTGCTGACCACGCTGATTCCTGTGTCGACCAAGTGTTCAGAGCTCTCTGCAATTTCTATCTCCCTCCCTGTGGTAATGCAACCCACCCTGTCCCTCCCTCCTCGATCTGTCAAACAGAGTGTGAGATGGTGCTGCAAAATTGCCAGACAACATGGGATGCGGTTATGTTGGCCTTTAAGACCGTAGATCCGATACCCGACTGCAATGATACCTCAAGGCTCCTGTTTCCAGTCCCAAACTGCTGCACTGGAGCTGGGCTAGGTATGTCATCTCTCTTTCTCTCTATCTGTCACTATAGCTAGCCCCCTCTCCCCTCTCCCTCTCTCCCTCTCCCTCTCTCCCCATCTATCTCTCTCTCTCCCTCCCTCCCTCCCTCTCCCTCCCTTCCTCCCTCTCTCCCTCCCCCCTCTCTCTGTCCTCCCTCTTCGGCATTGTATTCTCCCTGTGAGCTTCAATAAAATATTTTCTACAGGCACATTGTCAGAGAAGACATCACTCTCACAAGAAAGAGGCAATGGAGCCATTGCTGGAATAGCAAGTGGAGTTCCATATTCATTGTAGTGGTGGTGATGGTTGTTGTTGGTGTCATTCTCCTAAAGCTGGTTTTGTCCAGGAGAAGTAAGAAGAGGCAGATGGAGAGAATGCAGCTTGACATTCTTGCTGTGTGAGTGTATATTCAATTATCTGAGGGCAAATGAGAAAAAGTATTGTACTGCACAAACCATATGAGCTGTTCCCAGCGGTGGATCTAGGATTTTGAAAGGTGGGGCTCGTGCATGCGCATGAGGGCCGGCGATGCATGCACACAAAAAGACAAAAATAGGGATTCCGCACGAAACCCAAGGAACCCCCTGGATCCGGCACTGGTTCCTGCAGGCATTGTTTCGCCTTGTTCCATGAGACTTTCGGGCCACAGTATTCTGCGGAGTATAGTTCATTGTACTTGTTGAAAGTTACGTTCCAAGTAGCATTGCATAACCAAAGTTTTTTAGCCTAACATTAATTTTATTCATTATTGTATTCAGGAGTGGGCAGAGAGTTTTCATTCACTAGTTTCCACACACTCTAGTGTAGTGTGTGCTACTAAATGCCAGGATCTTGCACTTTCATAGCAGTTTTTGTATCAGCACACATTACATAATCATCCTGCAGAAAAGGGTGTATTTTTCTATGTATCTAAGTTTGTAGTAATGAACCATATATGAATGATTTCTGTATTTGACATTATTTCAGACCTGGGTATGATGCTCCAATCGAGGCATCTCATAATACTGAAACAACCGGAAGCCGTGAGGTAGAGCCAGCTGAGAAAGGAGAGGCCCTGAGAGCTAGTGATAACACTTACAGTGAGCTCTTCAGCCTATACTGTAAACCTTTGACAAAAGGACCCTCTGTATAAAGGACGCCTCTCTATTAGGGAGAGTTTGTTCATCTCCATGCTAATTAGGCTTTGGCATAACTTTGGGAATTGTAGGCATGCATAAGAATAATGCTGGCACTATAGGCATCTACTGGGATCATTTCGAGCATTCTAGGGCATTATCCAGACATTCTGTACCCCCGCATGGTGTGGTGAGCGTATTCCAATCTGCGTGCACTGCCAATGCTGTTACACGTGCCCCCACGTGCCGCCGCCAGCCGGGCCAGCTTGCGTGTTGACCTCCTACTACCCCACATGGCATGCAAAATGGCGTGAGAGGGTAGCACACAACCAGCGGGCACGCACTTTGCAACTGTTGATGACGAGGCTGGATAAAACGCAACTGCTAGCAAAAAGGAGACAGAATTTTTGGTCAATAGCATTTTGGGTATATTTCTTGAGGATTATTGGGACCTGCATGAGAATCAAAGAATAGCATTTTAGACATTAGAGTATATATTTACAAATAAATAATACTCAGGTGGCTGCCATAGCACTAGGGCCATTAGACCACACTAAATCAGAATGAAGGACGCCTCTCAAAAAAGGATACTTTCACATGTCACCAAGGTGTCCCTCATCTCCTTCATCCACACAAGACATTGGTTGGTATACCTCATCAATATAGGTCAGCCAGTCTCAGTGAGGGCAGCTAAAGATCTCCTGAGCCCACACCAAGCATCAAGGAGTGGAGCAAGGATCCCCAGCTGCCACATGAGAGAGCTCTCCAGGGGACACTTTCTCATCAAAAGTGAAGATGTTGTTTTACTAGACAGTATTGGAGAAGGTGTGTGTGTGTGTGTGCTCTGTTGGTTCACTGCACTTGAAGTTGGAGTACTTATTTCCCATACACAGGTGAATTTGGTATAGTCTACAGGGCCAGAATTGGGCTTTCGAAAAGACAAGTGGCTGTAAAAACTCTAAAAGGTGATCTTAGAAACTTGACAGTGTACAGAATGAAATGATTCAACTAAACAATATATAGAGCCCAGTGACCATTTGAGTAACAATGTTTCCTTAAATAGTGCAACAAAATTTCTTTACAATTGGAAAGCTCCAGCTATCCTCACAATATCTCACTGCAGGTAACTTTGACCAGGAGGATGTAGAGAGGTTTGTGGAGGAGAGTTTGAAGATGAGTCGGTTCAAACATGCTCACGTGATGGGTCTCATTGGAGTCTGTCTCGATGCTGGCTCTGCCCCCTTCATTATCATGCCTTACATGGCCAACGGAAGCCTTCTGAAGTATCTCAAGAGAGAGAGAAAGAATGTCGTCCTTTTAGAGGAAACTGATGAAGATGAGGTAAAGTTTGTCAGTAATTTTTTTAGGTTGTGGAAGTGTTGGCTACCACCGACAATACGTTTTGTAGGTGAAGGAGGTTCGTAAGCGACTGATGGTCATGTGTTTGCAGATAGCCAGTGGGATGGAGTACCTGGCCAGTAACAAGTACATCCACCGAGATCTGGCTGCCAGGAACTGCATGTGAGTCCTAGGGTGAACAACCTCTTGCATTATCCTCTTTAAGCTAAGGTATTGGAGTATCGGTAGACTATCTCTAACATAAGATGGATGGCACAGGTCAAATCTCACGTAATCCGTACACAAAACGCTTAAAATGTATAACCTCTTGTTTTATGAGAGTGTTTAAAAAAGTAACTTGTCAACAAAGTTCACAGGGTAAACCGTGACTATGTTTTCTTGTAGGATTGACACCCACTTCCAGATCAAGATTACCGACTTTGGTCTGTCGGAGGATGTGTTTGAGAGGAACTACTTCAGACAGGACAGTGGGTGTGGGGAGGTGGTGAAGCTGCCCGTCAAGTGGATGGCTCCTGAGAGCCTCAATGACAGACACTTCTCTGAGAAGAGTGATGTGGTATGTGGATAACTATGTACAGTACCTAGTAATTGTGCAGCTATTCTGGTAGCCATATAGCTGTAAACCCTACTCAGTAGGTATAGTTAATGAAGTGTGCTATATTTGTTTAGGCTTTGATTTTCTAGTCTCTACACTACTGACTTTCCTCTCTCCGTTCTCTGTTGGCAGTGGTCCTATGGAGTGACAATGTGGGAGGTATTCAGTGGAGGGAAGGCTCCATATCCTGCTACTGATCTTCTCACTCTCATGCAGAGTTTAGAGCAAGGCCACCCAATGCCACAGCCATACAATGCTGCCTGCAGTGAGGAAATGTGAGCTACTGTCTGTGCCACTTTCTTCTACATGTATAATGGCTATACTCTGTCAGTGTATCCTGCATTGGACTGGAGAATGATAATAACATTACACTGTATTTGCTTCTTGTACTAATATTGTGCAGCTTTGGGATCATGGGGCAATGCTGGCAGATGGAACCAAGGGACAGACCAACTTTCAAAGAAATCTGCTCTACTCTTTCAAAGTTCATTGAGTGTGAAGCTGGCTACCTGCAGTTTGGGTTCAGCCCCTTCACTGATGGAGGAGAAGGAGGAGGGGGAGAGGTAGAAGGAGGGGAGGAAGGAAGGAGGAACAATGAGGATGAGAAAGAGGAAAAAGAGAAGGAGTTCATCTAGAGCAACATTTAACTACCATTACAAACCCTTGTATTTTGTGCAACTATGCTGTAAATTTGTCTTCTGTAATTTTGGATGGTGCTACAGCCTACAGGTATAGATTGTGCCAAGAATGATGGAGCCGAAACTGAAGATGGTGTCCAAGGCAATGATTGTTCCGGCAGTGATTGTCCCTAAGGTAATGATGGTACCAAAGGTAAAAGATGGTGCCTGGATTGATGGTGCCCAAAGTAAAGATGGTTCCAGGAATGGTGCCAAAGGTATATAACGATGGTGCCCGAATGATGGTGCCAAGGTATAGATTGTTTACCCTGGGGAATGATAGTTTCCGAAGTAGAATTGTGCCAGGTAAGTTTGCCGGGAATGATGGTGCCCCAGGAAAAACTGTTCCTGGAATGGTTCCTAAGGTAAAGAAGGTGCCCGGAATGATCGTGCCCAAGGTATAATTATATAGATTGTGCCCGGAATGATGGTGCCAAAAGTATCTGTCTGTAAGTGTGTATGTTCTCTCCTTGTAATGTCATTGTCTAAAGATGTCTGAGTGAAGCGCAGTCAGGTGCCAGGGGTTGCATATGCTAGGATGGCTCGTGCAGATACAGTCATTGTGTGCTCGCCAAAAATGTCCAACCAAGTATGAAATTCATTGCCCTGGTTACAGGAAGTAAAAACAAAAGAACACAAAAACACTACACAATGGAAACTAAGAGATCCATTGACAGTCACAGGTCCGTCGGCAAAGTGAACCAAGGGGACTCCATTCTGCCATGACATCCAGGACCCAACGTTTGCAGATATAGCATGGCTGCTAAGTTGATCAGCCAGGTATATACCTCTCCCCATCATAGGTCAGGATTGTGGGCGACCAGGCAGGTCTACGTGAGACACATTCAGATCTGTCGGTAACGCGAACCAAGGGGGGGCTACCCATCCTGCTATGACATCAACAAACCAACAGACGCCACTTGTTTGCGTCTAGCAGGGCTGCTAAGTTGCTCAGATGACCAGCCAGGTACCTCACACCGTCATAGACGTCCCCCACGCCAGGCGCACAAAAAACACTGTAAAACCCTCCTTGCGCATGCGCGCCGCGTTTATACAATGGGGTGTGTTTGCGCATGCGCCGTAACCTTGCAAAAATATTATATAGTATAATTATGGTGAGGTTACCTGGGATGACCCTCCACATACTGAGACCAAATTCACTCCATCATTACCAGTCATGATTATTGTGTAGATTAGTCATGTGAACTAATCATACACCAACGTCATTATTCACAGTTTCATGGAAACAGCATGACACATTATAGCTACCACCAAACTTGGGAACACTGCACGGTGTGCAATAGCCCATCGCAGACATTGAATCTTGTTCACAAAACATGACTGTGCTCTCTAGATAGCAAGTGAAGTAGGTTGCTCAATGCACTCCCCATCGTTTCAGTGTGCAACGATGAGATGAGCAGTGCTCTCCCATCAACACTGCTGTCTCGGCTCTACATCAAAACCTCTTACGCGAGAACATCGTCCTGCGCATCCGCTACTATCTATAGTCCTTCGAGTCCTCATCTTTTGGTCAGGCTTAAATAGTCTGCAGCATGAGAAGAAGTTCTCACCTGTAGCTATCACATGAGTTAACGATCCAGATAGAAGCTTCAGGACTCGGCAAATCTCTGTAACTTCTCTTCATAGTTTCTTCTCACTAATACGAAGCACTCTTATCTTCTTGACCTCTACCAGCTAGACATGTGTTTCCACAACTAGACTTGGAACCAATAATCTCCCAATATTCATTTACTGGCTGGTGAATTTCTTTATCACCACTAAAAACTATTAGCTGTCCATGGAGAGTGGCAGCTATTGCTTTTGTAACTTGTAGAGGGGGGAAAGGTCGTAGTTCTTCAATGTGTGGTGTTTGCTCTGGTGTGATTGGTTTGTCACTGGATGGTGGAGCGTGAAGAAAGTACGAGTAACTTTTACCTTTCTTGTCTCTATTTATCACGTGTATTTTGTCCCCACATATTGTGGCAGATGGTCTGCTGGTGAAATTTGTACTCTCAAGTTTTGTAACCTGATACCAAGTTTTACATCTCACTTCAAATATTTCCATTTTAACATGAAAACCATCATTCCATCCAATCACAACAAGGTATCTGCCGTCAGATGCAAGCGGAGAGTGATATGCTTTTTAACCCTCGGCGCGCATGCGCAGCGAGGGTTACTGTAGTTGGGTTTGTGTGTCTGTGTGTCTGTCTGTCTGTCTGTCTGTCTGTCTGTCTGTTACTCGTCATCTCACTTCTCGAGTTTTCGAACGTCTCACAAAGGATACCACCTACTGAACGGGCAATGAAGGTCAGAACTTTCGAACGATTTTCGCTGAAAACGCTCCGTTGCAAAGCTAGAGCGCGAAAAAGCCAATATGCAAATACACAACGGCTTACTACGGCATGGTCGATCCGCGTGCTCTGCGTACCTCGGAGGCACCAGAAGATGCAACGCAGGGCGTGTATCGCCTCTCGCATGCTATCTAGTAGTGTAGTTAGCCGGCGTCAGACCCTGCGCGAGCTGGCAAGAGACCACGAGTAACAGCTAAAACTAAACCCAGCCCATAAATTAGTGGTACGGCGCATGCGTTTACTTACGCGTGCGCGTAACAGTGCGCCGAGGGTTTGCACTTCAGTGCATTTGAAATGGAATGAAGCATTTTTCATGGGAGGATAATATGCTTCATTCCATTTATTTTTCGGTAGTGTAGCTGGCTTTTTTGTGGTGTTTTTTCCTTTGTACCCCCCAACAGCAATAAGTTGGCCATCAATTATAATGAGTACAGAGTTATGAAATGGACATTCACTGACTTACAGAAGGCACGAGAGTAGCTAGTTTTCTCTGCAGGCATCCAGTCCTGGCTTAGTCACGTTCGTGGACCAGGTTTACGAGACAACAGCAATAAGTTGGCCATCAATTATAGTGAGTACAGAGTTATGAAATGGACATTCACTGACTTACAGAAGGCACGAGAGTAGCTAGTTTTCTCTGCAGGCATCCAGTCCTGGCTTAGTCATGTTCGTAGACCAGGTTTACGAGACAAAATGCGCGCGCACCGCATTGGAAACTCCCTCCTCGGCGCATGCGGCTCACTGATTCCGAGTTAGCAGCAAATGGCGTTGTTCAGTGACTACCGAGGAAGAGCTCAACGATCTACCGTAATGACTTGCGGCAAGAAACAAACGATCGCTTGATATGCGTGCACACCTCCGGAAAATTCGGGGACGTTCTGTGAAAAAATCAACGCTTCAAGTGCTTCCGGTAAGGAGCTAGCGGGTCTGAAGAAGAAGTAGATGGAGAATAATTATGATGATTATGATGACACGAAAATCGCGAAATCGCATATGAGCGAATTCTCGCATGGACGACTGAAGGTGCGTATGAGATCTTGGGGGACATGCCTAGGTAGATATGGGCCCGTAGACTATTGCTAGTTTGTTTGAAGGCCAATGGAGTGATTCTCACCGAGTTTTTAGTCGTTTTGTACGCGGATCACGTGAGATTTCACTCGTGTCATCCCTATATAGAGTCTACCGACTCTCTAATGATACACACACAGGAAGTGTATAGACACTGAAAATGAATTCAAAACTGCACCAAACATCTATACACCTGGTGAGTAGCTCGGATTTTAGTTATATACAACAAGTAAATTAAAAATGCTGTGAATTTAAAAAAGAGTCATATAGGGATGGTACAAAAAGAAAGGGAGACGAGATAGGGATGGGATACATGAAGCATGGTTAATGAACAGATTTGAGCACGCACAATCCCTATATTGTTGCCTAGATGAGGTGCAGTATTAAACATTAAACATTACACAATAGTCAGAACTTACAGCTTGAAAAAACCAAAAAAGTCATGCTACTATATAATGAATAGCCAACAGTACAAGTGGAGTTTACGTGCAGGCAACAATATAGGGATTGTGTGATGGGGTTGGGGGTGTCAGCGTGTTCAAATCTGTTCATTAACCGTGCTTCATGTTTCCCATCCCTATCTTGTCTCCTTTTTTTTATACCATCCCTATACGCCTCTTTTTTTAATTCACAGGATTTTAAATTTACTTGTTATAACTAAAATGCGAGCTACTTACCAGGTGTATAGATGTTTGCTGAGGATGAATATTTTTGACTGGGAATATGGGGCACAAGAATCAAGAGGTGTGCAAATTGAGGAAAGAATAATATTCACCCAAAAGTGATTGTTGTTCTGGAGGTTGGCAATGAGCTTTTTCCAGCCTTTTAGCAAGTTTGACAGTAGAACTTATGAGAGCTTCCACACTGGGCCTCCATGTTGGTTTGGGCTCTTATGTCGGGAATGTAGTAACGACATGCTTAAGACACTCTCCTTGCTCATTGTACAATTTAACTTCATCCAGTGGTAGCCCCAACTTACAGCCTAATGCGTACAACCACTATGGCAGTTCAGAATACCATCAGCCTCACAAGAGTACAAGCTCATAATGTTAATGTGAAACGTAAATACAAAAGTAATTGAAAAACCTAGCAGGAAAGCAGTGAGATGATGGTTTGTATTGTGGGCCACCGAAGATGTCCTTCAGAATCTGGAAAATCAGTGGGGAACAATTCAGATTCAAACATCTTGGAAGCTAGAACCTGTTGTCTACAATGCCACCAAGGAAAACTAGGGAGGTATCTCTGTTCCGACTCAGAGGTCATGTTGTTCTGCACCCACTGAAGTCTGTACTCCAGATGCATCTGTGGCAATTCAACCTGTACCCATTGGCTACTCCTGATGATGGTACTTCTCCCCTTTACAAGCAGTCTCTCTCCAGGAGGAGAGGGAAGAAGCTTCTCAGTGAATGTTCACATCCCTGTGGAGGGCGAAAGCTCTCACAATTGTAACAATTACAAATTGAAACAGGTTGACAGGTGTTTCCTATAATGCAAGAAGCCAAAATTTGATGAGCTACAAGCTATTGTGTCAACAATACGACCAGACATTTTATAGACCTGGTTATCTGTTATTGTTTTGTAAACTATTGGTACGTGGCGGAGTGCACGAGCTTAAGTTCCTTGCAGTTTCAATCAGTTTACAGTCGAATTACTGCATAAGTCTTTTTTATCGTCCACCATCTACTCCTGTATCTGTTTTTGTTGTCATACCATATTTTCCACAAACCCGTTTTCTTTCTCAAATTTTTTTAATGATTGGGATTTTTACCTGGATTGTTATGACACAATAAACACCTGCATTCCTACCAATATATGTAACATATTGTGCAGCTTTTCTCTTACACAGGTCGCCAACTCATATTGCACATAATGGACATTGTTCTCTTATTAACCCTCGGCGCGCATGCGCTAGAGGGTTATAGTACTTGGTTCATAAGTGTGTCTGTCCGTCTGTTACCACGTTTTCTGCGACTACGCGCAACGAGATAACAAAATAGCGATACCAACAGGTTCATCGCTACACTGGCTTCATTTTAAGGCGATTTTCGTATAACTGCTGCGTTCAAAAGTTATGGCGTGAAAAACAAGTGAACAAGCCAATATGCAAATTAGCGCAGGCTTACCTCGACCGCGTCCGCTCGCTCTGTGTATCTTGCAGGCACAAGAAGTCACAACGAAGGGCATGTATCGACTCCCTCATGCTATCTACTACTATACCTAGCCCGTGTCAGACTCTCCGCGAGCTACTAGCGGGATACCACGAGTAAAGACATACAAAGCCCAGCCCATCAATTAGTGATACCGCGCGGGCGCAGTTCGCCGAGGGTTTTCATTTTAATTGACCTAGCTATGATATCTGAGTCGTCTGCAAAGTACTCCGGTGAGACTATCAGCAGTCTTGGAAATTCTGACCATGCGTTATTAACCCTCGCCTGCGCGCATGCGCAGCGAGGGTTATTGCAGTCGGTCTGTGTGTGTGTGTGTGTGTGTGTGTGTCCGTCCGTCCGTCTGTCCTCCGTTTTTGTCGGTAACCGCGGAAACTCTGAGCGTGAAACGTGGACATATTACGAAGTATGTGGCATGCGTGGTAAAATAAGATTCTGGAGCGGAGAATGCCGGGGGAAGCTAGTGAAACGGACGGCTGCGAGGTGAGTGTGCGTAAAATAGAGATCGCGGACGATCGCTTTACTTAGATGCTAGATGCTTTGCGCGTGTGGTGAAGATTTGCTGGTCTGCCTGTATTGATGGTACAGTTGAGTAGGATCGAGGTTGCCGGTGAAGTGAGAGCAGCACACGCCCCACACGCCCCAGTGAATCCGTTCAGTGAAGGAGTCACTGAATTATATAGCCATTGGCTGCTGAAATAAAGTGTTGAGGGTTATGTACTGTCAAGTGCTTCTCACTTTGCTGTAGTAGTAACTAGTATTGAACACGCATGTGCAAAAGAATGTCGACAAAGTGATTGGAATAAAGTGGCGAAGGTTATGCACTTTCAAGTGCTTTTCATTGCTTGAAGGGAATGGAAACATTTTGTATATAGTGAGTAGAACAGTGTGGATGTATAACAAGGCTGACTTCAAGAAGAAGGCAAAATATCTCATTTCTGCAACGAACTGGAATGCACTACTCTGCAGTGATGTGAGTAAAAGTGTTGTGTACTGGGAGGAGCAGTTCTTGTACATCATGTCCGTGTGTATTCCAAGGAGATAGCTTAGAAAAATTCAAAAATCACCATGGTTTTCAGGGAGAGTGGTTAGCTACACTCATTTGAAAAAGGAACGGTTACTTCCGACGAGCTAAACGCACCAACCATCGCTCTGACTGGACTCGGTATCGAAAGTTTAGAAACATGGTAACGACAGAGGTATGTCTTGCAAAACTGAGCTATTGACACTTATGATTCAAAGAATATCTGGAAAGCATATACAAGGCTGCTAGTAAAGACAGCTATGGTATACTAATGTTGGTTGATGGAGAACATGAAGCCCATATGGATGTGCTGAAAGCTGGGTCTCTAAATTGTTTTTTCTCCACAAGCTGGAATGAGTCAGTCCCACCATTAACAGATGGCGATTATGTGAGGAGGAAATACTAATGGAATTACACAATTTGAACTGTGCAGAAGCTACTGGACCTGATGGTATATATGCTCCCATGCTGAAAGAGACTGCAGAAACTACATGTCAACCAATCAATGTGCCTACAACATGGAAATTTGTAAATGTAGTTCCAATCCCTAAGAACTCATCGGATAGACCCTCACCTTCAAACTATAGACCTATTTCATTGCTACCAATCATCAGCAAGATCTTTGAAAGACACATGTACTGAATCATACTGGATCACGTTGAGGAACATTTTCCTATTTCGTCACGACAGTGGGGTTACCATCCAGGGAAGTCAACCAGAGTTACCTATCAAAGAGACCCCAAAGTGTGACTGTCACGGTGCTCACGCCGCAGCCATCTCAAGCTCTTAGTGAATCCCACAGTTCAGTGCTTGGAACCATTGCTTTTCATACTATATGTCCACTCCCTGTGTCATCTGATCTCTCCAACTGCAGTTAGCTAGTTATGTATGCTGATGATCTGGTACTCTATAAGCCTATTTCTTCTAGGGGGACTGGATTGATCTACAAATGATATTCGGCAATAAACAGTTGGGTTGAGGAAAACCATCTTACTTTTCAACACTCCAGTGTAAGTGCATGGCACATATCCACATGCCAGACACTGTTTCTCTCAAAGCGAAGAGAAAGAAGACATTGGGCTAACTTGATTGAAATCAGGCAGCAAAGCACAGGTGCGGCCACACTGTGTACCTGGTACAGAGGTCACGAATCCTGATTTGTGAGTGTGTAGCTTATTAAGTTAGCCCAATGTCTTCTCTTTCTTCGCTTGTACCGCTTGAAGGAAATCGGGTAGGACACCATCAAAGCAGATGCGTGGCCACACACTGTGTGCCTGGTAAGAATCCGGACGAGCTTGAGTGTCCTACGCATGGGCTTAGTATTATACGCACGCGGTACGTCACGTCCGAAATCAACGGCTATATACTAGTAGGCGAATGCATGGCATTTTGGCGAGCGGAGCGAGCACACATGACAGTATTTGCATTAGCCATCTTAGCCTATTTACAACTTGAACTTAGAACCACGAAGATTGGAACAGAGTGTATATATACAGCCTCGGTGAGGTATTGAAGAGCGCAGGCGAATGCCAGCGAATAGACGAGAGTTCTTTCGCTGAGATTTCGCATCGGTATGACAGCTAGGCAGCGTGAAGAATATGCGGCGTCCCTACCACATGAGCGTCTCTGCTCAGAGTCTCACTGACATGATGCGAGAAGTACGGAGCTACAGCTCCACACACGCACGACACATCAGGCAGCATGTGAAATGTTGAATCATTTCGGATAAAAGAGCGCGTAATCTGGAGCATGCGCACTTACACGACGTACGCGGTCAGAAAATCGTGCCGTAGGACCACTAGGTTAGCTCGCTCCCGCTCGCCAATTATAGCGACCTGCTAAACGACACACGATCAAACGTGCCAGAATGGCTCAAGAGCGCGCGCCGCCAGGAAATGTGCGCGGCCGCCGTGTGGACGTCATCATCTGTATGGCACGCGGCGTGGAACGTACACGTACGTACGTGCCGACTCCGAGCTCAGCCTAAGGAGCATACCTATCTACCGCAGATTAAAGCTTTCCTTAGAAATGTGCTTGATTTGGAGCTTGAAGAATGCTGTGAGTCTCATTCAAAATGTATGGGCATGATGCATCACAGGTTAGCACAAAAAGGGATTAGTTGTGGGGATAGGCAGTATTTTTGCTTGATTATCAAGGTAAAAGCTGGATGGTGGTAGGTATTCCAGCACACAACTGGTACTGGTATTGAATAAGCGACGTACGCTAGAAAAACGGACGGCGAACGATTACTACACAACGACGATCGATAGCGTTTACAATTTGAATAATTTTTCACTATTTTTGTTTCATTTGGCGTTCCATAGACACACACACACACAGACAAACACTCACGAACCAGAGTATTGTAACCCTCCCTGCGCATGCGCACCGAGGGTTAATACTGTAACTAAACACACACAGGACTCAGTGCCAGTGTTCAACAGAGCCGCTACCAATCGAGCTCAAAAAACAAGTTTACAAAAAATACCATGTTGTTAAGTCTATATGTCCCTACTTTGAAGCACTAGTAGCATCATTGATCATGAACATTATACTGACGATGGTTTCTCTCTTTATATATCTGAAAATGTATTAAGTCATAATTGATTTATTAGAGTTTCAGACTTACTGCATTAGTCCTGATAGCAAACACTCATCAATGGATATAGTATTAGGAGTGTTAGGAAGCTAACCACCGAAGGTCTAGAAAAAGAAACACCTGTTTTACAATGTGAGACAATTCAAGATTTTACCTTGGAGTTACTCTCAGCAGAGACGCACATTTTGCACACCACTATAACTGAAAATAATGCGAAAACAAGCTAGTAAGACACTTGCGAACACTACTTATAATTATTATTATACCTTCATCACATGTAGAACATTTTTGCGTTTTACAGGTTTGTTTGGTGCAATTATTGCAGTCTACATCTGAAAAAAGAACAAAACAAAATCTAACATTGCACAGACTCAAATCTCTTGTATACCACTAACCATTGCTCTCTGTACTACAAATACATTCGTTCACTCCACACACGTAGCATTGATAATGCATTGGCACTCTGAAATTTAAGAATGTCCATTTTTTACGGTGTCAAAATAAACATTATATAATTATAACAACCTTCATCACATGTAATTCCATCTCCAACATAATCTTCCATGCACATGCACTTGCCATTTTTGCATGTGGCATATTGACTGCAATTTTCACACTTTGCTATTAAAATAAAGTTTAAAAGCACCTAATTACATTCAGTATTCAGTGTATTACATGAGAGGTATTATACCTTCGCATGACGTTCCATTTCCACTGTAGCCGTCTCTACACTTGCTTGGTTTTCTACACACTGTTGGCAAAGTTGCTGCAGTTCTTACTCTTGATACTAGCAAATACATGATATAATTACGAAATTGCACTGCTAGGTGTTGTATGTAGCAATAACCTTCACACATAACCCCATCTCCCCAGTAGCCATTCTTGCACACGCAGATTCCACATTCACATGTAGCTTTTATGCTACAGTTTTCACATGACTCTGTAATCAACAAAAAATAACGTCTTTTTACACTCTACTCTAACCCATATAACTCACCATTGGTGTATAGCAACTCTATATTTAAAATCTGAGTGTGAAGTAAAGGATTGCTTGTGCAAGGGCGAAATGGACAGAAAACAGAAATCACTGTTCTGTTAAGACTCTCTGTTAAATTTCTCACTTCAATACCTATTGCATTTCCATCATCAGAAAACTCGAAATATGGACTTTCAAAGGCCCCGAAACATCCATATATTTCCTCCGAGTCAATGCATAGTTGTATGTTTGTTAAGCTTTTGTTAACATTGCAATACATGTTGGATAAATTTCGCACTACAATTCCATCAGTTTTCACTTTCACAATTTCTGTGGAGGTGTGCACATACAGGCTAATATAATTAAAACAAGACTTATACTTACTTGTTTTATTCACAACTGGAATGTACATTGGTCGTGACCGACATGAACTATCTCCTTCTCTGCAAAGACTGTTGTTAAATGTAACGTTAACTGTTACCCCTCCGGGATGATCAGGAGTCAAGCAGATGTTTAAAGACACTGTCACATGTGGACTAGTGATATTGTTTGCAATAAATGTACATGATCGGGCATTAAGAGAGCAGCTTGATACACTGATGAGAAAAATGCATTCTGGGGTAAAATAGTCAATGTCCCATATTATTAAGTATTCATCACTAAAGTAAAAGGTGACGTTAGTGGGGTCACACTTTTCGAGAGACTCTAAGGGGTCCACATCTGCATTTTACAATAGGACCATACAACATGATATCGAATTAATACACAAAACTTACCAGGTATGCCTTGCTGAAATACCCTGCCAATGTTGCTGTGTACCTCTCTTGCCAATCTGTCGGCAATTATCAAAAAGGAACAACGAACAACAGTCAGATTTGCATACACCCTGAATGTAAGATTTGATCCAGTAGCTTCGTAGCCCAAGGGAAGATTAGTTATTTGATAAGCTTCTGAATTTATCTCCCACAGAGGAAAGACGGTATTGAAGTTGGATGAGCACACACATGTTACTTCTTCCCCAGAGAGAACAGTTGAATTAGCTGGACTGAGTATAGCTGAGAAGTCTGCATCTATTGAGACAATAATTTATAATCACTATTGACACCTTAATAGTGTTGTGTTGCGGTTTTGTGACGGATGCAGACCACAGAGAATTTGTGCGCAGTTAAATTATAGCTGTTGTGGTCGCAGCGTATATATATTTGACGCGGGATCGTGAACCGCGCCGGATGTAGGTGTGATAGTTTTTCCTTCAACGTCGTTGGGACAGTAAGTTCTGGACCTGTATCAAGTTTGAAGACTGTCCCACGATCTAAGACCAGAATTCATGCTATGATCTCAGCAACAATGCTGCTAAGTAAATTCGTAGAAGCTCATGTTTTATAGTACAGCTTCGGGGTTCATGTGTTGCTGCCCCTACAAACCAGCCTTTAACAAAGGCAAAACCATCATTGTGCGTGCCTCGATGCGTGCCTAGGTAAGACGCTAAGCATTGGCGGCAGGATTACTCGCACATGCCGAAGCAGGCTTTTAGCATGGACATCTATGATTTAGCATACTCGTTACTGCTGTCACGCCCCTTCAAGGTTCCCTTCATGGTCGCCGTCTAGAATTGCTATGGGACATGGTCGTTTAAAACAATTATTAGCTAGCTATTAGTTCGCAGCTAATAACCTAGGTACCCCCAAAAAGACACATTTTTTACGAAATTTCTAGGAGTTGCTAAATGGCACAGCTATAATGTTGTCATTAGCTTCTTATCCTTCAAAAATTCGTAGCTCAGGGGTGCAACGGCGTGCGAACCTAGCTATGACAGAGAATAACGTACCAGTTCTTGAGAAGATGGCTAGCAAAATAAAGCACAGCAGGGTGGTAGTGACAGTTATACAGGCTGGAGGCCTCATTTTTGTGTGGATCCCGTCGACACTGCGTAGTGTAGATTCACGTGAGGCGTATTTTATACCTATCTATATCCCGCCCCGTTTTTATGCTCGTAACAACGTTGTTGTCGTTCATGTTGCTAGCTAAAGAGTATTAGCTACGTACGTTGTTTTGTGATCGTAAATCTCGGCTTTGCACTCCTAAACTGTAACCTCGCTGTCTGAGTTGTGGGGCGTTCGGGCTCACCAGTGAGAGCCAAGCAACTAGCTACAGTTTTTTAACGTAGCTAGTTCTAAAAATAGTTCCAAAGAAAACTATCAGCACAGCTACGCTTGTATGTTTGTGATAGTGTATAATACCGTCGTGAAGTGTGGCATGTTTACGCAGCGTTCGTCCTAGCCTCGTTCCCAGCCGTAATGAATGACAGGTACACAAAAAATAAGTCAAAAATAGAGAGAAGAAAAAGGGAGTAGGGAGATGAAAAAACAATAAATAGAAGGAAAAAGGAACCGAGAATGCAAAACAGACAAAAACACAAAACAAAACAAAAACAAAAAAAGACAAATTAATTAAATAGTGCTGTCAATAGAGGGAGGCCAATAGGGAATTAATTTGCCAAAAAACGGCATTCCACGCCAGAGAGAGACAGAGCAGTACTAGGACGAACGATTTGAGTACGCAGGAGAGACCCCTAAACGCTTGCCTAGGAGGCGACCAATTCTGGACAAAGAGGTGGTTGTGGCCTCACACAAAAGCAAGGGGGGGGTGAAAGAGACCCCAACAGCGTGGCAAAAGGGGGCATGAGCTGACATCTTTCGATGCTCCCCAACCGACAGGGCATGGGCAGCAGAGGAAGCAGCTCCTTGAAGGGTGAGGGGTTCAAGGGAGGTCACGTCCATAGCAGCAGGTTGATCCCATTCCCAATTTGGAAGGAGGGTATCAGCACGGCTGCTCTGGGATCCAGGGATGAGGGAAAGAACTTCCTTTCGTGGAGCCAATGCAGCAGAGCGGGCAGCATGAAACACAGAATCACATGTGCCTAAGGATTCTATCACCATTCACTCCGCATCAACCGACCTGATGGTCACCGCTGCTGAGTGGCAAACTCAGCATTTCACTCCCTCTTCAAAAATCGAGACCCCCAACCAATATTGTAGGCAAACCCGGAACTCATGATCCATGAAGTGAAGGCCGAGGGAAGACGAGGGAACAGCGTTCATCCAATCACCTGCATGGGGGAGAGAAGACCATTGGACAGGGCCAGAGAACGGGTGTCAGGGGCGGAGGAGAGAAGTACATAGGTCGAAAGATTCCTGGTAAATCTAATATGAGACGGAGTGTAGCCGGAGGGGGACATTGATCACCTGAAGAGAGACCCACCCAGGATGCCCAGCTGCCCCTCCGGCAAGAGTGGTCAGGCAGGGAGGGAGACCAGCAGGGACAGGAGGAAGGTGGCGGAGAATGTCGGCAACGAGGGGATTTTGAAAGAGCGAGAGAGCCAATGAAAGCTGCAGGAGCGTGAAGGAGGGCCTGACAGAGATTAAGGCCACCCAAAGAGACGCATTGACACTCAACCAGCTCCAGTCAGAGATGTGACCCCCACAGAATCTGCCAAGCAGTCCCGCATGATGTTGTGCAAGTGCAGGATGAAGCAAGTTTATATATAGGGGCACAGGTACGGAGAGTGAAAGAATTAGAGAAGGGGAGGCAAGACGACCGCAAGAGAGCGGTTTCCTTTTGGGCATCTTGGAGATCCCTCAAATTCACGAGAGTGTCCTGAATGTTGGACTTCATGACTGTGGAGGTGCAGAAGGAGACAGAGCCTATAGGACAACCCAGAACAACAAAGCCACCATCGGAGACATGAACACCTTGGGGAAGAGACGAAGAGGGAGGTGAAGCATGGGAAATGATGAGAAGGGATTTTGCTCTGGTTAAGCAGCAAACCACGAGAAGGCCCTCGGCCTCTAGGATGTCAAGAGCCCCACAGACAGAGATTCCCGTCATCTAGATACAGACGTTCTTGAGGAGACCTGGAACATCTCCATTGTTCTGCTCGAGAATAGGCTGCAGGGCGAGGGAAAAACCCAACGGACCCAATGGGTCACCTTGCTGGACCCTGCACAGCTGTGAATTATGTCGTCACCGAAATGTAGAAGAGGCTGGATGCCGTAGCAACATTCAAGCCAGGCTGACATGGAGGGGATACAAGACTGGGCCTAAACAAAACATACACTTCGAGTAAAGGATCGGAGAAGTCAACTAGGAGGAAACAGCGACAATCAGGAGGAATGGTACTGTCAGAATGAACGACAGCCTGACGAGCACGAGCGTTAGCTGACCGGATTGTTCCTAAGAGGCAGGGATAGACCAGAACGTATTTAGATACCGGACAAGTCGCTCATTCTCCTCCCTGACCTCGCACCAGAGGGAAAGCCACCCTCCAGACCTCCACTTGGCGATACATGCTTGGACCAGCTAGTATCACGCCCATGTAAACGACCCCTCTAGGGGTCTGGTGACATCTAGCCAATAGGAAGAATTTCATCCAAGAAATATATGGTATGGCACACATCACCAACAAGACCAGCCCAAGCGTCCCTAGCTCCCTTCGGAACATGGCGGAGGGTAGACGTACGCGCAGACTAATGAGGGCGTCTAGAGAAGGGGGAAGTGGGGAGGGGGGAGTGTACGGACTCGACGCGTAGCGACTTCCGGCCACGCCAAGAATTACTTCATGTGATGCGCGCTTACTATTTAAGGCCACGCCCACACATTCAAGCGCACTCGATAACTGGAGTCTGTGCATTCTTTAGGCCAGTGCTATTTGCACCTTACTTTGCTTGCCGCCCGGATGGATCATGATCGGCGCCGGACCTCGTCTAGGGCTAGGATTACTGCATCGATTGGTTGAGTCTGTCGATGCCCTAGCCCTAGCCCTAGACGAGGTCCGATTTCGATCATGATCCATCCGGGCGGCAAGCAAAGTAAGCTGCGAATAGCACTGGTCTAAAGAATGCACGTAGTAGGTACACTATATGACCGAGTCACCCTGTGGAGTTATCGGCCTGTCGCGTCAGCACACAGAGGAGGTTACGTGGAGATGGGTGGGCGTAGCCTTAAATTCAATCGCGCGGAGTGATTTTGGGCGTGGCCGAGGTCGCTACACGTATCTACACTCCAGTTGAACCGGGTGATCCTCGTAAGAAAGGGGAGAGAAGGAGCGGGCGGGAGGGGACCGACGGAAGAGAGGGAGAGGCCAGAGCAGGGGCAGGGCACGAAGGAGGCACAGTGGCAACGACAGCACCAAACGGCCTTGTTACCGGGGCATGGGCGTGGCATAACCACAAAAACTTACCACTTCTAGAAAACGTCAACAAAACTCGCAAAACTTTGACCCGGTAGGCGGGCATCACGGCGGCAGCATTATCTCGTAAAAACCACCCACGCATCCACAGAAGTGGTCAATCGGCACTGGGTCGGAGCTTTGATGTTTCTTTCATCTACCCTTTCAGTACAGTGAAAAAGACAAGAAGGTGCGGATTGAGTGAGACATGTCATAAAGGTCTCAGCAGGCTGAAAGGCAGGCACAGAGGCTGTGCGTATGTCGGCAGAAAGAAAGATCGCCACAGCGCGCTTGCGTGGGATTCGATTAAATTTTGAATAAATTCAAGGGGCGTGCTAAGAGTAAAATACTAGAAGAATGTTGAACATTGTTGGCGAGCGGGACCGACCCAACTTGGGATTTGTCCGCGATGTTCGGGCTGCATAACGTGCCGTCAGCGCACAGCTCTCCTTGCGTGAAGCAAGACAGAACTACCTGTCGCCGTTACATGCGTATACATCCATCGGGCTGCCCGACAACGCGGCGTGTGTTAGATGGTCCATGTGCACGAGCAATACTAGCGTATTTGCAAGTTGACTCGGTCAGTCACGGAAGGCTGCAGCGCATGCCGTCGAATGGAGGCTAGATCGATCGGCGAGGCACCGGTGTGTGAAAAATGTGTAAAAATTTGGAAATAATTTCGGATAAAAAAAGCGCGTGCTAAGCCGCGCATGCGCACTTACACGACGTACGACGTACACGGTCGGTCGTATACTACTAGGCGAATGCATGGCATTTTTGGCGAGCGGAAGCGCGCTTACAATTGAGGTCTAATCGTATGAGTCACTCTTGTGTGTGCACAAAACAGTGAGATACATTGCACAGGACCAAGTAGGCCGAAACGACCCGAGCGCAGTAGACAATTCGAGTCGGGTCAAAAACAGTCAGACGACAGCGCGAATCAGGCATAATCCGGCAATCTGATTGGTCTTGCAGGAATAGGGAACAAGTGGCAATGTAGAAAAATCTCTCGCTGGACTGTGCAGCAATACTCGATAGCTTCGGAGGTGTTGCGTTCCCCCTGATTCCGCTCGATTCAGGCAGCATTATGAAAATGTTGAAATCCCTTTCGGATAAAAAGAAGCCCGTAATGCTGGAGCATGCGCAGTTGGACGACGTACGGGTCCATATATATTATAATTATATAGAAAAATCGCGCCGTTCGGACCACTAGGTTAGCTCGCTTCCGCTCGCCAATTATACAGAAAGTTCCACTCGAACGAACGACTAGGTTGGCTCGCTCCCCCTCGCCACACTGTAAAAACAAGGGTGTCAGGATGACACCAAAATGGAGTGTCAAGTTCCTGTGCGAGTTGGACACCTACCTAAAGGGTGTCAATACAGTGACACCCTTTAGGGGTGCTACCTACACACCAGATGATGTCATGATCGCACCATGCGAGGATTCCTGTAGCACCGCGTTTTGTATCATTTCCACATGTAAATCAATATTTGATCAGTGTATAAATTGTAAGTGAATAAGGATGATAAGTGACAGTGAACAAAGATAAGTACAAAATCAATTAAGTGTCCAAAACTCTCTCCATCCCATCATGTACAAGAACAACAGACATGGGAAGTTTTTGCGATGATTTTAAACCATAAACATACTTTTCTAAAAAAAGGAGAATGTGCTTATATGAGGGAGGAAAAGAAATATTGAAGATATAATAACACGCAAAACAAACATGAATAGAGGTTGACAAAGTATTGACAGGTAAAATATTATCAGTTTCAACAATAACCTTTACATCAGCTATATTGTCACGTGTAACGCCAAATGCAGCAATGCATGGAGCTGTGGTGTTGAGGCCGGCAATGCATTCTTCAATATCCAATGATTCCCCCTACACAAACAAATGCAGATAGTACTATCATACATGTCTCGTCTCAATGTACACAAGTAATTACATACATTGGCGAGGGAGGGCGAGTTGTCCGCTTGTGGCCCTACATAGTTTCTCTACAGGCACTGTCACATACTGTGCGAAATGGCACATCACACATTGAAAAGCCTGCGCTACATGTGCTAACATATGCGGGTGTGACCTACTGCTGCTTATATTCTGTCTTCATACTTTCGTGCTGCTACATAATTATGCATAATACATAAGCTGCTCTCTGTACTACAGCTGGTAGGTTTGTGTGTTGTTGGCTCACTCTCCCTCGCCACCTACCAGTATGTATAGGTATATTATTATGTGCACAAGAAATTATTACACAAACCTCAAAGATAGAAATAAGCGGCTGTCCACTCGACCGGTTAGTAGACAATAGAGCCCAGAGCAAGTCCAGAGTGTAAGCTGCAGTTCTATCTGCATGGTGCAAAATGCGCAAAGATATGTAGCTGATCAAGTGCACAAAACTTATATATACACCTACCAGCATTGTCACACTCCTCAGCATGATACTGATGCAGAAGATTTTGAGTGATTTTTTCTGCTCGAGGGGTGCATACTTGAACACAAGCTTTTCATACTTCCCCCAATTCTCCTTGAACTTGCACTCTTCTGCCCCAGTGAGCGAACAGAACTCGTTCAACATCTGTACATAGAATACACACATTAACAGCAGTTCTAGTACATGTACATTATACTCACAATTCGTGAAGCGGAAAGGCAAGGAAACTTTTCAAAATCTCGCTAACAGATGGATTCTCCTCGCGAATCCAGGTACGGCGAAGTTCCCCAGTCTCCTCAAGCACCGTCAGCATGCTAGCCAACGACCACTTCTTTGACATGAAGGACCGCTGGAGAAAGCTAACATGCCTGTCATATTCAGCAGTATCAGATGCAGATGGTGATGCTGGAGTTGGGCTGGGAATCTTCGCTCTCTTTGATGGAGGAGGAACTATGATACCTGCTTTCTGTGCACGGTTAGGACGGCGCAAATTTTAAACTTTGTGCGTAGTTTACTTCTCCAAGATCCCTACGTATTACACAGATATGTTAGGCATAAACATCAAGTGTACTACTTACATATCCTTTGTCGACAGTGTCCCGTAGTTTTGGATGCTTCACGATAAGCCGCCTTGAGACTGTGTCAAGATCATGTGGTGTTGGGCGGGATGTGTGCATCAACATCAACGTCGCCACAGAATGGACAATCTCGACACGGGCACTCTTTGTGAGAACACCTGTTTCAATTGCCTTCGTCGTAGGGGTTGAAAATCTAGTTGGTAGTGCCAGTCCTTCAGCCCAATCCAACTTAGGTAGCCTGGAAAAAGATGTACTGTGCATGTATGTACTAACATTTTACACACCGGCAACACATGCATGATCAGTACTACCACAAACATCCTCTACTGTGCATATTAAAATTCGACACCAGGCTACACTGTGCAGATACAGTGCACATGCTCATACCCAGGTGAGGAAGGCTCTCCATGATTAATCTCACAAACATCTTTATTACACCTGCACAATGCAAACACATTTTAGTATGCCAGGCAATACTTGAAATGGGTTAATACCTTTCAGGAAGAGAATCATCATCTTCCCTAAATATACAAAACATATACGAAGTAAAAAAACTCCAGCAAAGAACGGGAACTATAATATTATAATAAAGCCGAGTGCACTGGCTGAAGGCAGAGCCGACAAAGCCGAGCGCACTGGCTGAAGGCAGAGCCGACAAAGCCGAGCGCACTGGCTGAAGGCAGAGCCGACAAGCCGAGTGGCACTGCTGAAGGCAGAGCCGACAAAGCCGAGCGCACTGGCTGAAGGCAGAGCCGACAAAGCCGAGGGCACTGGCTGAAGGCAGAGCCGACAAAGCCGAGCGCACTGGCTGAAGGCACTGTTGTCCATGCCCAAGATAATCATGCACACGTTGCACGAATGGACTTACGAATCTGTAGACAATACAGCAGACGATAGGGTTGATGGAGGAGTAGGAGTTGGAGAGTCATCAACTCTACAGCATAATTGTCACAGTAACATTGCATGAACTGACATCCACTTACGAATCTGCGGAGGTAGTATCAGTCAGGGAACGACGTGGACACATCCATGTCCGTGAAACGGATGGTGTAGAAGTATGCTTCCTCACTTACAACAGTTGAGGGGGTATTAGGTGATGTGCTGCTAGGAGGCTGGGTAAAGAACGGATCGGTACGTAGGTACAACCGGTAACCACCCCACCCACTTACAGTGTCCAGTTTCACAAGTGTTTCCGATATCAATCGCTTGATTTTCAAACGGTCGCCAAGGAGTGGAGCTATTTCGCGCAGATTTTCATCATTTAGACTCAAAAACACTTCCCCATCAATCTTGTGCTCAAAGATGTTGTCGAGGATGCTCTCCGAGAGAGAGAGGGAATTTCCTCCTTGAGACGCAGACGTAGAGTGGTCGGTTGAGAGCCCGTCAAACCTTCGTGCCATGTCGGGAGGAAGAATCTTCCGTCCGGAAATGCGCGTTTACGGGATTTGGCGCGAAACGTGATTGGCAGGGGTCGGTGCAAGGGGGGAGGAGGGAATTGCGGATGGCGTTATTTGGAGTAATCCAGCCATGGCTTTCCCGTGCCCCTACTGCGCTGAAGCATACTGTGCACCTTCTGAGGAGCTTTTATGACTCATATAATAGTCCATGCAAGTGATCCGAATTTTAGATTCAATGCTCGCTGAAAGGATGTGAATTTTCGTACGTATCAGTACCACCGTCTGACACCGCCGTTAAATGAGTTTCTACGTGTTCATGTGACTAATTCCCTTCATAGGACTGGGAGAATTATCTTGAAAGAAGCAAGAAC